ATCAATTTTTATACCCTATTTTAGTTATTTTTTTGTAGACTTCGAACGGTTGAATACTATCGTATCGTATTCTTGAATTTAGAATTTAGACTACTTACATAATATATATTGAAGTCTTCGTCTTCGTGTAGAAATGGTTTAGTATTTTTTAGGAATCTCGAGTCTCTTATCTGGAGTATGGGGGTATTTCTTATTGCAAACGAATATGTACGCCGAAAAACTACCTCGCGGTTGTAATCAACTCCACGAGACATCGGACCTTTAATACTATACCAGTCTATATACTTATATATCTATGTACTGCTCCCTTCCAACTAAAATAATAAATTAAAATTTTGGTTATTATGAAAAGTCTTGTTGGTGTATGTAAATAAATAAATATTTTTATTATTAATTTATTCTAAACTTCTGTGATTAAATTATTAAACCCAACTTCGACTGTTTATACTATTTCCCACGCTTTGCTCAATCAAATGATTAGAATATTTATTTATTCATTAAAGTGTTTGTCTTTTTTTGGAGCCGTTCTGATGAAGACAGCCCTAGTGAACCCACGTGGCCTAGTGCATAATATCACCTGTTTGAAAATACATCGAGAGCAATCAGCTAGTACATCTGCTTGGCTAGATTATTACGCAATATATCCCAGGATGTCCTCACTTCCAGATGTTCCTTGAACGAGCGTTGAACCTGTGATGATTTTATATCTGGACTGTTTATATCCTGGGCGCTTTTTGCGGTGGAAATATGTTCAGTACTGATATGGAGATATTTTTATTGGTGTGATGGTATGGTGGTTGTAATTAATGTATATCGATACGTAACAGATGGCGCAATTAATTGTTTTTTTTTTAAATATTGTATGTAAACAAACATGTCTTTTGTATGGTGGTAGGGACTAATTATCTTCTTATGTTGTTTTAAGAGTACGTATATAATTAATTATTAATGGTTCCTACTGCTGTATACTGTAGGACACGGCAATGGGTGTCACTAGATAATTAGTACGATTAAAAATCAATTGAGATTAAAAATAATTAACGCGGGCGGGACTAGAACGACAAGCCACTAATACACCCCACCTAATAACATTCTTTGGGTTTGGTTACGGATTGGGATACAGTATTGAATTCTCTTGTAGGATGCATTAATAGTAGATTATACAAATTTATAGATAAAGTTAAGAGTTAAATTTGACGTGCTCCTTAGTGTGGTAGCAATGTATGGCTAATAAATAATCAAAGGGTCGTCGGTTTGATCCCCACCGGGTCCAACATATTTCAAATTAATTTATATATTTTTTGGTGTCTTTGGACTTTGTCAGGAAATCTGGATATTACATGGGTGGTAGGAATATCCAAATCCGTCCGGGCCACGAACCACCGTCCACAGATGATAAGTCGTCAAATTTAATTGCTTTCGATTTCAATCGGTGGATTTCCGAATATCCAAAGCCAAAATTTTAAATGTTATATGGCTGGGGTATTGAACCTGTACTGCATATTTTTTATATTATAGTGTATAAAACCAGCCGAAGCGCGTAATCAATATAACAATACAATCGTCGTTTTAACCCGTTTGACTTGCGGTGATTGGCGGAATAGAGCATAAATACAATTACTTATGCTCTATTCCGCCAATCTTTTAAAAATAAATTAATCTATAAGGAAAATGGCTCACTTTTGCCATTAGTCGTGACAGGTGGCGGCGTTGTGTTAAAGAACTTATAGAATTTCTAAAGAACTAATGAAGGATAAGAGTGAAAAAAGCCTCGCGAGCTAGTATTTTCGTCAGGCTAGATATTATCCTAAATGCCTGAGACATCTGTTGAAAATTATACATTCAATATTCTTGCAATTGGCGCAAATTGCTAAGCGACGCGAAAGGATCCTAGCAACTTATGTTTTAGCTTTATTATTCTAATTATTTAAAGTATTTACATATATCCTGCAGTTTGGTTTCACTGTGACAATAATAACGCAAAATAGTGTTTTAAAATTAATGTAATTTATTTTATGGCCGAGAGCATATATCAGTGTTAAATCGTGTTGCCTTATATGTGATTCTAAGAATAAGCAAAGATTTCCATTTATATTATCGAGAAGAAGTTGTACGTAGCACCTGTCCACATCGCAGTTAATGAATGGTTCACAAGTAGACTATGTTGTGGGTAGAGACGAGTTTTCTTAATGCGATTGTTGATTTATAGCTAGTTATTGAATAATAATACCTTAAATGTCTTTCAAGTGGAGTAAAACTGCATTTTTTTCAAAGCATCTATATGTTAGAGAGATGAAATATAACCTTATAATTGAAAACAATTGAATGTACGTCGAATTATTTTTTCGTTATATCCACACACAGATCTAAAAGCGCTGGAGTTTGATTTAGTCTATGAATATCCGAACGTATCCGAACGTCCAAAGACGAAATAAGTCGATAGCGCATCTTGCTTACATATTACTAGAGGTATTTAACCTTCCTTCAAGTGAAGTCAATGAATTTCTGCCCTCATCTATCATATAATGTCTTTATTTTTGTCGGCATGATAATCACAGCGAATCTTCAAAGTTGGTAGGAAGGTAGAAAAAGATGAATAAATAATAATTTTTAAGATAAAGTGACTTATTATTTTATTGTAACTAGGTAATACATGAAATGGGTATTCGTAAATCGTACTGTCTGGGACAAATCTAATTAGAAGGTCCATGGAGAGACTTCAAAACAGTCCAGATATATAAATTTGTGTTTGATGTTTAAATGTCCGTACCTAAAATAGGTTATATAAATTACACGTTATGTTTCGCCTCTTATTGAGCTAACCATACATGTTCATCCTCGTTTAAAAAACAAATGTTTTTTTTAATTCCACATTTGTAGTTACTGCGGACCCAATTAACAACCGTATCAACTGAAACAGTGAGAATTAAGCGTGTAAAAAAACAATTAAAATGAATTAATAAATCAATAACCCTGAAAAGCTTATATGAAAATTTATTTGTATTCGCATTTAAAGCTTTCCCACCACGGCACGTGTTGCTAATTGTGAACCCGCATCAACTGATTGATGTTAGACTACGCGCAGACAATACCGTTACACTTTCCACTACATATATACGTATTATAACAACTTCAGGATGTTTGTACGAATTTGGAGAGATTAAAGAAAAGAAAATTACTTATGTTCACAAATAGCTGTGCTATCTTCGTCTGTGAATACTTATTTTGAGCTTTAAATTTGCTTTTGTTAACCTCCTCCATAACCTCAGTGGTAGCAATGTATGCCTAATGATCAACAAGTCGTGGGTTCGATCTCCACCGGGATCGTTTTTTCTAATCAAATAATGTCTTTTCTGAAACTTTGTACCCGAATGGTAACCTGGATAATAATTGGGTGGTAGGAATATCGTCGTTTTCAACTTATTGACACATGCACCGCTACAATGTAATTTCATATAATGTGATGGCTATGTAAAAAATGTTAGTTTGCAATCTAAAATCAAGTCAAATAGATGTTACTTCCTTTTTGTGAAAACACTTCCCATCGCCACAGATCGCTACAGATGCTCCAAGATCTTATCTGATCGGACCATATTAAGTAATCGGTTCCTTATTTGACCATCAGATGTGCCATACTGAGCCACTTTCCAAGTAGCCATTGATTTATTAGATAAGTTTTTTGTCTCAGCCTGATTGGCGTTCAGGGCAAAAAATCAGTTGTCAACTGCCAGGTGTGGTCTGGTCGCGCCTCCCGTGTATCACCTTGCATACCCATATTAGGCATTGATCTCTATCTTGTTTTAGATGATCTTTGAACTGTCAGCGATTTGTTGGCTTCAAGCAATACAAAAACACTTTTACCCGTTTAGAACGCGTATTATATTACTTTATTTTTTAAAATTCTAATTCCTTAATAATTCTAAACCTGAATCTACCTACCGATAAATCCCGAATCTGTCTAATAATTTTTCACGACGTGTGAACTTAAACTACTTAGTAGTTTCATTTGACGCCGTTTCATCTAAGCCTAAAGGTGTAACATTTACGAGGCTACCTTAGTTATTGTGTCTGTAACATAAAGACATAGACATCTATTTGTGGTTAAGCGATCATAAAAACTCAGCAGCTTTCCCTATCCTAATGTAAGTTACAATGTTTAGCTTGAAAATACAACTTCACTTTCGCTTTAAAATTAATTGAAAATACAAAGTCTCTAAACATATTTTTTTCCAAACGTTTTTTTATCAAGACAAACATTCATGTGATTCACTCGATAGAAGGTTAAATACTCCGACCATATAACATCTAAACAAAATGCGTTTCGACTTTCGGATTTGGACACGACTGAAACCGAAACGGATTCAATTTTCCAGCTTCTTCATGTGTGGTCGGCAGTTCGTGATCCAGACTATTCAGTGTTTCAGAAAAATTATAAATTTATGAAGACTTGGTGGAGATTGAACTCAGTACTCACGGCCCTTAGATTATTATTAGCCATACATTAGCTACTATTAGACCGACGAGACGAATAATATTATTGTAGAATAAGCCTTAAAAATTGTATGACGTTTATATATGGTAAACATATAATAGATCTTTAAATGCCTATATTATTATTTATTTGCTGAAAACAATTATGAAACAACATAACATCTTTAGTTTTATCTACAGAGGAAAGTTTAAAATTTTGCGTTGAGCATTAGGCAGTTTCATTTACAAGTACATAACTTCTTCGTTTTGCCAAAACGAAAATAATTTTTGTTTCCCGGGATTCGAACACCCTATCGCACTTAATGTATCTATCCTTTAGCCAAGACGAACACCTACACGTAGAGGTGTATAACTCTTCATATACATGTATATATGAGTATTAACTATGTGTACAGAAGTCACAACTGCTTACGATATCTGGAAAAGGCTTTTCCTAATTACTGGGGAGTTTTGTTTGGCGCTATCAGCGTGTAACGAGCCGCAAATGGGTCTCCGGTGATCGCGCGATCATGCGGGCCGCCCCCCTCACGACCCCCTCCATAGCGCACGTCAAAGGCCTTTGTGCGAATGTGTTGGAACGCGCTGATAAGCATAGCGGTATTGCGATTTATAAGCGGAGCGACACATACATCTAAGATTTATATTTTTGTATGTATATCATTCAAGCAGTCCGACAATTATTATATATTTTGTTGTAATATTATAATATATTTAACATCGATTTAAAATTAATAAGATTAAATTTTAGAAAAAAAATCTACGATCCGAATAGAACTTTAACTGGCATCCCCAGCGTTCCGTGCTGTTGCTCTACCCAATTGAGCTACAGTATAGTAATAAAACTTATTAGCGCTCAAGACTCGTTCTTGTTTAAATGTTAATGTAGGTAGTTTTCTAATTTGTCAAAAAGTGTAGGTAGTTGTGTAGTTCTTGGTTACTAATAAATTTTTGTTTATTATTTAGTCATCCATTAAATGAAGAATGCATTTTTTTTTACCGGTAAATCTGTACATTTTTTAATTTGAAAACCGGTTAGTTACTGAAAATTTAGACTAAAATTATAATAATAACTAAATTTCTTAAACTAACAAAACGTTAGTTATTAATGTCCAAATAAAAACAAAAATGAAAAAAATGCAAATTTTTGAATTTACTATTCGCGTACTCTGTGCAAACTTATAAGTAGTGTTAAAAATCGCTATCTCTCATGAATGTGGTCTGAGACTGACAGATAAGCTCACATAGCGGGCGACGGAATCTCATGTCTATCCTTGTTAATTAGTTAATCTCATACAATATGTGCAAGGTAATTAAACCATTGAATTTGGTACAAGGATTATTTTCAACTTTTTCAACACACAAGGAGCGTAGACTTCTTATCTCTTTTGTTCTTTCAGCCGTGTTAGCACCATTCAATTAAAATACCTCTATAATCAGAGAAGATGAAAAAGTTGCTTATATTCCAATATAATAGTATAGGCTGATATGAGGAAAAATATATTTTCCTGTCAGTGGGAAAATGACTAGACTGTATCGATTATAAGGATTGTATATTCCTTAATATTATATATTATATTGTTATTAAGTGAAGGAATACTGTAGTCTTTATAATTAATAAATATTAAATTAATAAGGTTTAATATTGATAAAATTTTATTTACAATTGCTTATAGCCGATCAACGATCATTTTAGAGTCAGCTCGACCAAAGCAAACAATTTTTTCCAAACTCTTTAAGGCAATTCAGTGAACAGACTTTTTCACTTGTTAATAGACATAACAACAACAAAAAAAGTTATACCACGAGTGTGAATAAAAGCAAACTCTTTTGTCGTATATTTTATATGTACAAGCAATCGGTAAACTGTATGTATTTAAATAAACCAAACGATTGAAACCGTTAAATCCGTGACTACGACTGCTGCAAAGCATCCTAAACGTCGGGCCGTAGTTAAAATATTTTTTAAACAAGCCTAACAAATATAATTTCAGCATTTTAAGCTGTAAAATGTTTTATTTAAATGGGATCTACTCGCGTAAACTACAGACAGGATTTAGTAAAGTTATTCCATGTATAAGAACATATTGTAATTATATTACAAGAATCTACGATAAAATAACTAATTTTAACATCCTCACTATAGTTGACCTTATCTCTATTCGATATTCTGTTATTCCCCATTATTAACCTCATTTAAATATTTAGTGGCATCAGATGTAACGAATTATGTAAATGACTGGGTGCAATATGGTCTGTGAATTGCATCCTTATCGTAATATATCGACACGCGACAATTTTAATTGTAGTTTATTATTATAGCCATTTTAGGGATCTAGATGGTGTGTGGCTTTTGAGTGGATTATTATAATCTAATGTTTATTATTTAGCTTTAATTGGTTAGCCTAAAATTATCTTTTTACATAATTTAGTTTCTATCTGTATTTTACGCGAGTGGTAATTTTATTAAACTAATATCGATAAACTGTAATTTGATAGCCCAAAACTATAGTTTTTGCATATTTACTCACTATCTCTAGTTTACGTGAGTATTAAACATAAAATAAAATCTTTAAATCACTTACTAACGGGAAATCGTAATTTTAATACAAGTCGGGATCGGGTTTAAACCGTTAAAAGTGAGATTTTGATACGTGAACTAGCACCTATTGCTTTATAATTACTTGATTGTCTGTATTAGATCTGAATATAATAAATAAAGCTTTATAACGTATGAAAGAATTGTAAAACTTTTACAGTACAACTGCCATATATTTCCTTCTACAATTAATAAATTAATACTTGTAAGAAATCTATGTAATCGTCTTTTGTTTTCAGTGTAATTTACCAACATACATGAACATTAGCAGCTATATGTAAACGAGGTTTTGTTTGCACTCCAGAGAGAAGCGCTGACGACCACAAGCAGGCCTTGACAGTTCAAGAAGCTTTGCGCCTAGCTGGAGCGTTCCTTGCTCCTGATTTATAGCCTCCGAAAACCACAGGGATTCAATGTGCCTTTGTTGTTATACACTTTTATTGAATAATAAAATTTCTCCTCGAAATGAAATAACTTTACAGGTCATAATTCCATTTAACGTTGCGTAAAATCTAATCCTAAAGCTGTCTTTGGTTTGAAACGCTTAGCGTGAGCTAAATACTTGTTAAGTCAAGCTTAAATATCTCAAATTAACTATTGCTTATAGGTCTCTATGTATTTTTTTATTATAGGGGAAGATAGGCAAGCATGAAGTTCACGTGATGGTAGGTAAAATACTCCATGCAACATCTAAAAACAACAGACTGAATCGAAAGTGAACTTGACCGTATTTTATTGTGGACAGACCCGGACAGACTTTTGATCAACGAACTTCAATGTGTTGTAGAAAAATTAAAACTTGTTCGTTTATTAGCCACATATGCTAGTCTTATACTAACGGTGAGAGTGGTAGGTTCGTGGTATATAATTAAAAGCAGCAGATACCATCCATTTGGGCTAAGCTAATCTTTATTCCCATTAAGTTTAAACAAAGTCTGTTCTGTTCTAAGTAGGACAGTAACATAATTATAGTAATCCATCATTACAAGACTTTGCATTTATTAATAGAACTATCCGTGTAGTTTATTTTAATACTAACTATTTTATCTACATATTACTCTATCAGGGGTGGACAATATAATACTTTTCTAATTCGTATCATAGTTAACAATTAGAATGACAAAAGTAACAATTAAGTTAATTGCGTGACAGCGAAACACAAAAGTAAAACACATTCGTGCTTAAGATAACCATCACTTTGGTGAAAATAAAGATAATGAGTCGATGAATAATAATGAGGTTTGTAAGTGTGAATCATCAAATATATTTAAATTGTTATCAATTAAAAGCAATATAATAGCGATTTGAGTCGGGTAGGTCGGACCATATGGCATTGTATAGCACGGGCGCTACTTGGGGCCACTAAAAATGAGGTTTTGATTTACATACTTGACACGCACACTATTATGTGTAAATTGAAAATCTGCTTACACGCCTTAAATTGATTTAATTGTTCTATTGGTAAGAATGGCAGCATGAAACGCTGTGGCTCTTGTCTTAATCTCAAAAAAAAAGAACAAGACTTGTGGTGGGCACTATAGTTTCCGTATGAACCATTGTGGTAAACATCTGATATTTTCTAGAATATACTTTTTAATAAATGTTAATACTCAATAAGACAAGAAAACTATGTTATTTTTATGAATAAAAAACAACAAAGATTCAGAAGAACAACATGACATACATATAAAATCACATTACAGTTCTTCTCTGGAAAACTGGAGAAACCTTTTGAAGGAGTGTTAAGAAATACAACCTTCAGAGAGTGGTGGTGAAGAATGGGCATGGTGGTCAACAGTCGCCTTTAGCAATCGCTTATTTAATGGCCCAAGTGGTTCATGTAAATTTATCAACTTCAATTGAAGTTAATAGGAATGTTCGTAGGGAGGACCGCCAGCTGACGCGAGGTGTGAGGGAATGTCCTCCCTCGTCACACTATATCCGATGACGCCACAATGGCCTGCTCAAAAATATACGACATTATAAATTTTTTATTAATTATAATATTTAATTTGACCTTATTATGTACACTATCTATAGCTTGCGCAAATACTGCACATTTAAATAAAACACTTAACGATTTTCACGCGAAAAGACACACTTGTTTACAAATTATTTTAATGTCTGGACCTTGTTTCAAATAATTTTTATAAACATATAAGAACATTTTCGCGTTTAAATCGATTGTGTATTTTATTTAAATCATTGCATAAAAAAATCGATGCATCAAAATCATTTTCCTTACTTTTGTAATAAAATCTACAATTATATAAAGTCGAAAAAAATGGTCGATTATTTTATGTTTCAAAGGTCTGTGATTTACCAAACATCAAACGTAGATCATTACCGTCCCCTTTATTTGCTATTAGATCCTACCATCTCTTAAATTGAATATACCTATATACTTACTTGTAAGGAATATATAAAATAATATAGTGTCCTAGACATTGAATATCTTTTTATTAAAGTTACAAGGGCTTAGTTGATAAGACAATGGTATAGATGAAAAATATTTTTAATTGTCCTTAATTCGAAATCCAGGTATTTAATTCTTTTCAGTTTTATCTGTGCTCATTTGATATTTCTTAAGGCATATTCAAACGTTGTAACTTGGCCAATTGACTAGGTTCCAGGTCATTAAAAAAAACACAAAATTCCCGCGCATATTTGAAGTGAAAATTCCGACTTGATAGACTGTTAAAAACAAAAAGGAAACAATTTAAGATTTCTTACTAAGTACTATTCGCCATTTTAAATCATTGTATAATAGTGTAAAACAATCTTAATCACGTCCAGCAAGGACTCTATAGATTTATTATAATAAGCAGCTGCGCATCTCACCTGCCAGGTTAGTTAAATCTAATGCATTTAAAATCACATAGTTTTTTTCATTTTTTTTTCTTTGGAAAATATCTTACAAATATACTGTTAAAGTTTCTTTTTAAAGTGTTGTATTCTAGTTTTGAATAGGTTAGCAATTAAAAAAAAACAAATATCTCAATTTGGAGAGAAAAGTATAATCCCAGAAAAAAGCTGATTAAGTAATAAATATGTGATATAAATAATAATATATGTGAAAAAAAAAAAATTTTATATATCTTATTAAATAACTGTAATGAAAAATTAATTTAAGAGATATCAGATTCAATAAAACCTTGTAGGCTTACTTTCTTGTGAGCGTATTCCAAAGGACGAAGTTTTGTAATAAGTATCGAAAAATAAGGTTAGTGTTCAAGACTTAAATAAAAAGTTAAGTCAGGTTTTTTTACATGTATATATTATGTTATCATTTCTCTTTAAAAAACCTTTTGGTAAGCTTCCCCTAACCATTAAGAAAGTATCTACTTAGAAAACTTACACCGCACACCTGTGTTTTAAAACCATTAAAGTACAATAATAGCTACTAGAGCTAAGTGCATTAGTGATAAAGTAACTTTATTAGTAGTTAATTCACTTTTTTAATGTATAACACACTTTAATTCACAATAAATTAACCCGTAAATCGATATTGGAACATTAATAGCACTATTATATCGTAATATTATTATAATGCTCGATATTCATGAAACATATTGTAAGTAGTGTTAGTTAAACCATATTTTTGATTGTTTAAATATTTTGGGTTAGGTATGTTTTTGGAAGATAGCTGGATATAAAATATCCCAGACTTGCGATGCCACATATTCTCACAGTTATGTTGTTGTTGTATTAGATGTAGAATAGATATCATCTCGTCTATTGTTTATAAACAGAGTAGTATTTTTTTTAATTGCAAATAATCCCTCTCATTTCCATGAGAACTGTTCTTTTAATTACCATCTAAATGAATAATGATTTCGTCGGTCAAAACGAAAGGGTTGCAATCGCTCGAGTGCTATTGTTTTTCGACTATAAATCTAATGGTTTGTGTAATTATGACCTTTAATATGTGACAGTCGCTTTGTAACATGTAAATTTATCCAGGAGCATATTGTGGGGTGAAGTTGGGAATTAGGAATTGGGGCGCTGGATGCCACTTCACGGCCTCGGTTATTATGGGGTTAGTGTTTTTGCTATTTTGAGTATGTAATTATTTTATTTTGAGATAAATGTAAAATTAATACAGATAAGTAATAAATATTATCGATTTAAGTTTATTAATTTTGTCTATAGAAATGACTATATACTTTAAATCAATTAGAAAATTGCAATAGCAAAAAACCGATTATCGATTTTACGATTCAGAAAAATATACAATCATGGCTTTAAGGATAATCGGAAATTACAGATAATATTACTTAGTTCACCTGTCACCATAGATAAAGACAAAGATGAATAAACATATTTAAAAATGGAATGTCATCTTTTCTTTTTTTTCGCCAATTATTTGGCGGGAACTTCGTTTTGGTTCAAAGAATTCAAGATAAACAAAAGATATTTCTTTTTTATCTCATTGCCGGGACATTGAACCTTGTTAAATTGTAATAGTGCAAAAATTAACACCGAGTCTCATTGCATAATTAAAATATAACACCGAATAAATATAATGAGCATTCATAGCGATCGTTTACATACGAAACAATAAAAGAATGAAAACCGAATCTGTATGCCCTTACCACTTGTGACCACTCCAACTGAATTGTAGACGTATAGTCTTGTTACCGAATTTATTGTTCACTGCACAAAGCCGTAAGTAGCCACTTCATATTGTGAGAAATTGTTGCGATTTCGCTAAGATTGTGTGAGAATATGGGTAACGTGTAAATGTTCTTTGATCTTTCATTTGCATTGTTAAATTGTTTGTTATTGCTGAATATTTATATATTAAATGTTTTTTACAATACTTTAATCTAAAAAAGTCACCATTTATTTAACCTTTGATACACTTTAGGGATAAAAATATTGCTAACGTAAACAGTTGCTTTTTTGTGTAAAAATAAAACATTGAACGGTTGAAACAATAAATATATTAGTTTCCTTTTTTGATTGACGATTGTCTAAAATAATATGCATGTTCTTATTGTCTATTCTTCCATGCGGTGATAATCATTATTTTGTCATTTTAACTGGCCTTATAGCGAATATACTGCTCTCAGTTTATATACTGTTTCTTTATAATCGAAGACGTCATTCACGTAAAATCTAAGCAAGGTGTGCTATCGACCCATTTTAGCTTTGGATATTTAGATTCCACAGATTGAAACCGAAGCGCGATTAAACGTCAGCTATTTAGATTAGCTTCCTCACCCGTGGACCTCGTGAACCGGATGGAATTTCGATATTCCTACCACCCATAATATCCCGATTTCCAGGCGAAGTCCAACATGTGTCAGAAATATCCATTCCACCACGAGCTCGTCAAACTGTGTGGCAAACGATTAATTTGCAATCTGAATTCAATAACAAAGTATTAAAATAACGTTTGAGCAGTCAATTAGGCGATCACGCATCGTCCATCGAGATAGCGCGATGGTGGTCCATTGTTGGCAGACGCCCTGTGGATAGCGAGCCCACCACTCTCCGCGCGTACAATGTGACGAATGTTTTATTCCCGTTTTGTAATTGTTGCAATCGCTTCCGCTCTGTTGACCTGCTGTAGCCTCGGTTTTGTGGGAACCGTCAATATTCCACTATACCATTACAAACATTTGCCTCATAAGGCTGGGTTATCTGCAAAATCTAAAAGAAGCTAATGTAATCTGAGGAGCTGTATATAATAAATAGATCATTACATACTCTATCGTCTATAGTTTACGCGAGTAGTACACATTTAAATAAAACACTTTAACGGTTTAAAACGCGATAATTAGTTACATTATTTGAAAATATTTTTAACTTCGGCCCGGGATGCTATGCAGGAGACCCGTCTCCCCGTGACCAATATATCGCGTTTTAAACCGTTAAAGTGTTTTATATAGATCATTACATATTATATACAGTTAAAACGCGAATATTATTAGTTTATTAAGAAAGCAGAGATTTGACTTTTACATTTGACCACCTACATGGTCAGACCACCGCCGCAAGACATCCGAAACGTCGGGCCTTATTTCAAATTCATTGTTAAGTAATTGTGTGTAATGTAATATAATTAAAAGGTATCTCGGTTTAAAACCGTTAAAACTGTTTTATTTAAATGTGTATATTTGCGTAAACTATGACAATACTCATTTAAGACCCGATTTTCTAATCTTTTTAGCAGTTTGGAGTGTCATTCTAAAAACAAACTAACATAGTTGAGCTGAATAAGGATTCCGCGATTAATAAATCAATGTAATATAGTTTCCATCAGGATATGTTATTGGTATATGGTTTACGCAGCGATGCACACATTTTCGATATTAATTAAGACCCGTACATTTCTCATCTCTACAAATCATTCCCTCGCGATATAAAACTGAAAACGCATAAAACCCACGTCTTATCAGCGATTCCTTTAACACCGAGATCGTGACAAAAAATAATGGCGAATCGGCAGCCGTCCCGCGGCGACCTCCCAGCGTAGGATTGTTAAATCACACTGATGTCAAAGAGTTTGATCGTTGCAAGATCGAGCGGATAGATAAGAGGGTTCTCACCTCCCCGTGGTCGATAAAAGGGTTGCGGAATAATTGCAACAATCAATATGAAGGAGCTATCGAGTAATTTGTATGGTATTTGTGCGGGCTGTCTCCTGCTGACACTGTCGACGTCTAGGGGTAATCGGCTCTTGAAGTTGGGAACTTGTTTCGGGGTTGTGTTCTCACACCTTATGCGAATATTAATTTATCAGGAGTTTAATTAATTTATTTTTTGTTTAGAACAGAAAAATTCCGGGGAAACCCCGATTTTCGTTACTCACTTCTTTGACTTGGCCATTCGAAACGCAGAACGAGAAAAGATGGTTTACAGTGTAAAAAATAAAAAAATAGCCTTCATAGTTTCACTAACTAATCGCTGTAAACCTTACTTAAACTATATATTTACTTATTGTATTATTACTTAGTATTTATGTTCGTTATATTGCCACAAGAGCCTCTTCGACAGAAGCCTCTCCTAAAAATTTTCATGCTTGCTACTACATCTCTTACCACTCTTGTCCACCTTGTGCCTGCCACTATTTTAAGTTAATCTTCTAAACGCTTAACCTGGCATTTACTTATGCTTTTGTAAAAAAAACTAATGTTTAAAGTAGTCCAATGCTTATACCGATTACCGACGAGACCAAAACATAAAGAGGTACGAGTTAGTTAAATCCCATATACCAAAAAAAAAAAAAAAAAAAAAAAAAAAAAAAAAAAAAAAAAAAAAAAAAAAAAAAAAAAAAAAAAAAAAAAAAAAAAAAAAAAAAAAAAAAAAAAAAAAAAAAAAAAAAATGGGGGGGGGGAAGGGGGCGGGGGGGGGGGGGGGGGACCACCGGGACCCCCCGGGCGGAAAAAAACACAAAAAAGGGGGGGGGGGGGAAAAAAATTTAAAAAAAAAAAAAAAGTTCAGGTTATTTAAATCCCATCAAACTGAAACCTTACTAAGAAGTCGCAACCAGACTATAACTCACGTGCTTCATAATAAGACATAAACATCAGCTCGTTCCAATATGTCATGAATAACAAAGCGTTGCGGTAACGGTTCGCATCATTTGTCTACCTTAGCCCTGTTATTTATGGTCCTGGAAGAAGGACAAAAACGGGGTTGCTGTTAAATATTTGCCTGAGACAAGAGGGGGCGATAATTCGAGGCTATTATGACGTCACTTCACGCCCTTTGTGCGGTCGTCACGCCGTGTCATCTGCTCCTCGAGACGCCTGCCCCGACTATCTCCCGATTATATCTATTGTGTCATTTTTTTAGAGCGCGCAAGTCGGATGCGCCACCGACGATGAATCTCCGCTCACTTCTTTGCCCGACTCCGTTGTAAAAACACTCGAGGAGTTTCTCTATTGTCTCTTGCCTTTTATGAGCTCCGTTTTGTGACGCTGTTATTGTTTGCGGTCGATAAACATCTCGCCAATGGCAAGGATCACTTGCCAACCTCCTGTTTAATAGACGTCTATTCGATTTGTTTATCACTTGTTCTTTAAGGTTATTCGAGATATCGGGTAAGAATGGAACTAATGAATGGGAATCTATTCAAGTTAGTTCATTTGTCGAATGGAGCGTCTCCGCAAGATCCACAGTTAAAAGCAGCGATTGATAAACTCTATTACAATAAAGGAATGCATCAAACGTGTAACGCGTTACTACCGGAGCGAAAATTGGACTTTTCAGAAGTTAATTTACTGTTGAAACAGTCGCCTGAAGAACTTGGTAAACTAATAAAAAAACTGAAGAAAAGATTTAATTTCACAATTTTTTTATTTTAACTAAATAAACTGTAATAGTTATAGATAAAACACCAGATGTTCTGATAAAAGAAATTCTTGAAGCGAGAAAAGTGATTCAAAAGAAGATAGAATCACTTCTAGATAATATCAACGCAAGTGCTGATAAAGGGGAAGTACCTAAGCTAGTAATTCGGAATCAGAAATTGTGGAGCAACTGTATATATGATCTAGATAGGTAATATGTCTTTGCTTACATATAGAACAGACAGGAAAATAAAAATCACGAATTTCGTTTGGTAATTCTTGAATTTTTTTCGTATAAGATTATTAAAATTATTCTTATAAATAGTTATTCGGCAAGAACGTGTTCATATATTAATAAAATTTCAGGGTAACCCTCAAAAACGTAGGAAACGCAAAGACAACGACAATAAGATATTCAAATGCAACGGACAAATCAAGATTCAATACTATTGTGTTTGTTCTATCAAGAGTGCATGAGCTGCTTGCGAAGAGTTTGACAGTCACACGAAGGTACTCAAATTAAACACACATTAATTACGTATGCTTATTAAGGGTTGGTGTGGCTGTCTTATTTGATAAAAGTGATCTCAAAGCATTGGTGTTAAGATTTAAATTTTAGAAACCGCTATCATAAATAATTTCGTTTCTTTGTGTAGTTATATATAATATAAACATATGAAATTAGGTATTTGTTAATAATGAATAAATAATAGTTCTCTGTAAACTTTTCACATGTGCACGTGATGACACTAATTGAATAAAAAATCTAAAATAAATTGAAAAAAAAAATACGACTTAAGAATTACGGGCAGGACTTGAAACGGCATAATCATTGCGCGAGAGTTGCATGTATCGATTGGTTGAAAAAATTCGACGATGACGTCTAGGACTCGGTAGATCAATTGGTTAGAGGAAAAGCACGGAACGCTGTGAATGCCGGTGCGAGTCCTGCCCGAGTCGTACATTCCATTCAATTTATTTTTAGAGACTTGAGGTCTCTCTAGAAACATCTAGTTCGTCGTTTATTAGTCATGTTAATATCAAACAACCCGTTAACCATAGCTTCTGTAATTATCGAGTATGTAAAACTCGCATAGAATTAAATGAACTGCGGGTAATTAATAGTTATCGCTGTATTCGTATGTCTTTCTGGGCCTTATCGAGCCCAAAGTTATAGAACTGGCGTGAAATAAATAACATGCATCTTTTTGCGAAACGCATTTATGAAAAAAATATATAAGCTGGAAAGAGCATATTAAAAAGCTATAAACATTATCGAGACGTGTTGCCTAGCATTGCGTTAAGCGCAAGGGGTCCTGGCTACGAATCCCGGGGAAACACTAAATTGTTTCGGTCGGACAGGGCACAGAAGTCTGATCAACCACTTGCCTCTAAATAAAAAACTGTGTGAAATGTGTTTGCCCTATGCCCCACGAGGGGAAACGGGATTTAAAACATTTAAATAAAACACTTTAACGGTTTAAAACGCGGTATATTAGTTAAACTTATTTTAAAATGATTTTTAACTTCGGCCCGACGTTTCGCGTTTTAAACCGTTAAAGTGTTTTATTTAAATGTGTACTACTCGCGTAAACTATAGACAGTATTTGATTTAAAATATGTTTGAGCCGGTGGAGATCGAACCTACGACATTAATTATTCGCCATATATTGCTACCATTACACCAACGAGCCCGTCAAATATATACTTATAATATATAGAGAATTATATAACCAGAAATCGAACCAAGACTTAATCTTTAAGTACTTTTCTAAATTGTTGATCCATTATTGTTTTTAAATAACATGTAGGTACTATTTTTCTATAGAGAATTGTACTATCAGAACCTGGCAAGATTTCGTAATCAAGGCGAAGTAGATATTGGTGTCAGAGACGTCTGTTGTCTCCTTGAAACTCCACCATGGGACCTGGGAATCGTGGCCACTGCGAAGGGACTTATTGCTGGACCCTTACAGATTGTTAACCGGGATGGAACTGTTGTGGATTGTATGACAAATGGAGGTACTGATAAATTTTAATAAACAGTTGCGACTGCTAGAGGCAGAGTGGCCTAATAACAAAAAACATGATTTTTAATATGGAGGAAATAAAAATTTAAATTAACAAAATATGTTAACAATTTTCGGTCACTGTACCTACGGTACAAATATAAATAAGTCAAGACATAAAATTACGGTTAGGCTAATCTGTCTCCAGCGACCTCTATTTTTGTAGCATTTGCATTTACATGTTTTGCAAATGATTGTAGCCATCATAGAAAACTTAATAAAAACACGTCATACGCAAATAAAATTTTACGAAACGGCATATCTACCATACACATTAAAAAAATGGTTTTTTTTTTTTTAATCTATTAATAAAATGGGGATGCCTTTATAAATTATATTTTTCTTAATCATATAGGGACTCTTATACCACAAGACATAATTGGTATCAGAGAACTCAAGTCATCGGCAAAGTTTATACTGGTAGTAGAGAAGGACGCGGTCTTCCAAAAGCTTCTGGATGAAGGAGCTTTGACTAGATTACATCCGGTTATCATTATAACGGTACATGTATTTAAATGGTGATTTTAACCTATTGTCTGTAGTTTAAGCGAGTAGCACATATTTAAATAAAATATTTTTTAACTATAGTCCCCCCGTGACCACGGCTACAAATCATTCGAAACGTCTAAAAGTGTTTTATGTAAATGTTTAATTAAAATTATTTTTGGTCGTCAGTTGTTATGCTTTACGTCAGCCGTGGCCACGCGGAGATGAGTGTATAACTAATAAATTACGCATTTTAAACCATTACAAAGGGTTTATTTAAATTTGTATAACACGCGTAAACAAGTACTGTACTACTGTACTAAGAACATATTGAAAAACACTTTACACGGTTTTAAGCGGGTAATAGTCTGTAGTTAACTTATTTTTACTACGTTTGGGATTTATGAAATAATCATTTATTTTAATAAGCTTACAACTTAATTATTATAAGTAATTTATATTATTAGTATTTGTCTGAAAGAAACCCTGAAAAATCGCCACGAGCCGATCGCTTTGTGCAACAATCCCTTATGTTGGACTTACGCATTTCTGTTTTTTGAAAACTCTAATATTTTCACATAATGCCATTATATAATTTAAAAATCGAAAATATATTGTTTTTTAAATTAGTAGAGCAACAGCACGGAACGCTGACGAAGCCGGTTCAAGTCCTGCCCGCGTCAAAAATGTTTTCTATTTATTTTCGATTTTTAAATTCCGGTTTTTTGTCAATATATATATCTTTATTATCAGGGAAAAGGTTACCCTGACGTTTGCACCCGGCAACTGCTATGCCGCTTAGTGTCTGAACTCAATTTAAAGCCTCTAGCTCTTGTTGACGCTGATCCTCATGGCTACGAAATATTCCTCACCTATAAATATGGCTCATTGGTAATATTTTCTTAACTTGTTTATTATTTTTAAAGCAATTTTATTTAAGCGATTGCCCTAATGTTGATTTTGAGACCATACTTTTAACTTATATGGAATAAGTATAGACCGAATGTAGGTAGGTACAAATCGCATCTTAGATACTATACGGTAAGGTTATTTTCTCTAACAAGTAAAGTGTGCCTATCTTTCTCTGTCATAAAAGATATATTCCTTTTTTTATTGTGCATGCATACCTTCAGGGAATTCTTAACAACTAGGTCCCCAACTAATAAGTTGTATAGTATAATAGAAGCACCGTAGAAGACCTAGTATTTAATACAAAAGAAGCACAATACAGACTCGAATGGAAAATCTCTCTTTTTTTAAGTCGGTTAGAAAGTAAAATTTTCATAACAAATACATATTATGTTCGTAAGTGTATATTTTTTGGCAGGCACAATCTCATCTATCGTCTTCTTTAGCGTGTCCAAAATTAGTGTTGCTTGGAGCTCGGATTCAAGATGTAATGACTTTAGCACCGAAGACATCTAGATTAGCACTGAACAGCCTTGATAGACGTAAATTAACAAATTTATTAAAAAGGCCGTATCTTGACACAAATATAGGTATTTTTACTACACACTTATTCCTATAATTAAATTGCTTTTATTATTGTCTATAGTTTACGCGAGTAGTACACATTTAAATAAAACACTTTAACGGTTTAATTGCTTTTATTATTAATTATTTATTGCTTAAATTTCGATAAGTTTTATGCTTAGTAAATTTTATTTAGGTGCCCTTATCAAAGAGGAACTACTTCGAATGTTAAACGGTGGAATAAAAGCGGAAATAGAGTCCCTTGCTTCATCAGCTTCAGCGCTTTGTGATAGCTATCTACCCTCCAAAATAATACAAGGCGAGTACCTTGGTTAAATCTTGAAGAAATACGTCAAAAAGTAAATAAATTGTTGTTTAATAAGTTAGCATACATTTCAAAATTATATAGAATTAAATGTGTATAAGTTATTTGAAAATAAATAAATAAGGTAAATATTTCCCTGTCAGTACCACAATCAAATCACATAATTTACGTTCAGATAAAAAAATAATAATTACGACACATAATTTTCATAGTGCATAATATTAAATACTATTAGCGACATCTGTTGAAAAATATCTTTATATTTATTAATTTCTGCGCCATCTAGCAAATATTATATGTAACTTGTCAGTTGCAGTAGATAGTACACATATGTAACACAAAGATGGCGCTGTAACCAAAGTTTCAAAACAGATGGCCATGCAGACGTCATACCATACAATCATGCCATAATGACAACAGTAGAACAATTTCATATTAAATATTTAATGCAAACTAGTGACTAAATTACCTCGTTATAATGCAGAAAAAGAACGAATTATCTAATGACAAAATAGCCATGAGTAGAGCCAGATCGTTTATGACTAGTGCAGACAAAAAATTCAAAAACGATTCGGTCAAACGTAAATCTTTTTTATCTCACGGAGCTGTAAATTCATTAGATTTGGCTCTAAGCCGAATAAAGAAGACGAAATTAGCAAATGGGGAATATTTCTGCACCAGTTCCCATACAAGTCCATCGCGGAGAACTGCTCCAGGAGACATATTTATCGACAGCCTCACAAGTGCCAGTAACGTGGACACGTGCTCCATGATGTCTATGAATTTTTCTCACTACGAGCTCATGCGTAATCTTTCTCAGTCGAACTGCAATTCGGATACCGCCTTTAGCGCCACCACCTTGAATGCTGCTTCTGTACCTCGCGACTCGATGTCCAGAAACGAACATCTAGAGAGATATTTTCGCAGCGTGGAAACGTGGAAAAATTCCAGTAACCGCGGTGCAAACGACAAATAGCAAGGGCAACAAGGAAACCACAGGTGAACGATTATGAAAATTTTATTTGTCGTAAATAAAATTATCGATTAAACAAAAGTATCTTAGAATTCTCAAATGAAACGTCTAGATACAACACGGCAACTCTTAAACGAGACAATAAGTTTAACAATATTACACCTGCCACTTGAACACAATAAAACTAGGTATTATTATGATTTTAATACAATCGGGATGATATCGAATGGAACATATTTCCATGTATTTTGTGTTCTATAACGCCTTGCCATCCATCTATCCGCTAAAGAATCCACAACATTCTATGTATATCTATGTAAACACTGCTTTGAATTTGTACATAGATCTCCTGTTCTTTATCTACCATAGGATTAAGGACATGAAACAGTCTAACAAGTGGCAAGTGTCTACTACATACACCGTACATATTTGAAAATTATTTTGTCCTCTGTTGTTGCGTTTTATTATGCATAATATTAAGACATCTTCCAATTTACATGGGTCGACATTTTCCAAGTATTTGTGCTATTGGATAGTAGAACTTTACCAGCAACTTTTTATTCCCAATTGACTGTACATCCCCACATATCTAAGGCAGGCGAACAAAACCGTTTCTTTTAATTAAGTAAGACATGAAATATTTGGAAACAGCCGAAATCACTAACCAATTCTTGTAAATCTTATAATCGATAGATATTGTATTTCGTTAGTAAATTGAATTGAATTAAACAATCTGAATTATATGCCGTAATGCAGCAGCCGAGATTGGTATCAGTTTTTGAAGTTCCCTTGCTGTTTTTGACCGTCACAACTAAACTCGCCCGATAGCCATTATTAACAGTCTGTATCTGGAATAAGGAAATAATTGACATAGTCATCACATACATAGTTTCTATTCCTTCCGAATATTTACTAATTGGAAGACTAAATGGGAATTTGAACCAAACGTCGGATAACTTAACAAAAAACACTTAGACGCTGTAATTTAATAGTGTTTACGAATAGATTAATTTGAGTTAATAATAATTTCTTTGTTATTTCTATTCTATCACATTAACATGCTCTTGACAGTACCTAACCCACTATTACTATCTACATAAAACATTTCGCTAATGAAATCAATAATACAACATGATGTAAAATTTAAAGCACCCGGTTTCCGAACTCTCTCGTATTATAATTATCTATAAACCATTATGTTGTTTGATGTATACGTAGACCGAATTACAATATTGTCTATAATTTTAATACAATCTGGTGATAAAGCAAATATTAACGTTACTTATTACGATAGAGTTTTCGAATATCTAAATTAATTTCCCCATACTTAAATACAACGAATTCGATCTGCCTAGGCCCTACGTATTTGAAAACGAAGATATTTCATAATTTATCTAATATATTTTAAATACATTATCGGTAAAATTACGCAATAGAAGAATCACAGCAATCCTTAAGACCATAACAGCAATTGAAAATAACTTCATCGACGTATCGTAGGTAAATGTTAAAATTTAGACCAAATTGGCAGTCTTCACAAACATGGAATGTACGATATGCGCCTATGAATGTATTCAATAACACTTAACGAGTATCGGTAGATATATCTTTACAACAACAACGAATTACCTAATTAGTAATTAATATTCACCGCCGATAACATTTTCGTGTCCGTTGACTCTCTACGTAGCGTTTACCATCGGCACTCATTTTAAACCATCCTATTCACAAATAAGAATGACTCGAGAACAGACGAATCGACAATATAAAATATTAATGATTGATAGAAGGCAAGTTTATCTAATAAAATACGTAACTACTTTGTACATGATGTAACAGTGTAACAGTTATGATGATGAGAATAAAATTTTGTAATATCGCAAACCTATGACTTAAAGGACACTTAACAGGATACGGTTGCCATAAAATTATAATCAAGCAATACGATGTAGGGGCCAATTTTAAAACAAACTGGATCAATTCTTCAAACCATAAATGGGTATTCTCTACGGGTAAGCTCTTTGTTAATTTCTTGATGGAACCATTCACGTATTTGAAAGTCGCTTATAAGTCAAAGGTACTGATAATGTAAATAGCCTTAACGAGTAGTGTAGAAATTCCTATCTGAGGCGAAAATTTTTTAGAAAATGGAGTAAAGCTTAAGTGAAGAAGCTCGAAGTGCTACACGCTTATGATCACAAGTATATTATCAAAAGAGCCCTTACGATATTATACAAGAGGAAAATGTTAGCTCAGTACTGAGAGATAAGAATTATTTTCTAAAAGGACAAAATCACAATACTCTGTCACTACACAAGTACCGAAGTACCTTTAAAATGTCTGGAACTCCTTCTTTTCTGGCTGTTCAGGTTATTAATTTGATTTCTATCCGTTGATTGTATTATCTAATTATTTCGTATTAGCTCGATTTGTTTCTAATTACACCTAGTTTAGTACGTATAAAGTCACGCTTAACCGCTCCGAAATCGATTCTAATCTAATATCTAGTCACAATTAGGCTTAATCAATGAAGAAGGGAACGCATAAAGCAGTATATTACATATTTACAAAGAAACATTACTATTGTTGATTATTCCGCAAATTAAGCTATTTATGTAAGCTAAAAAATATTACCGTTTTTATATTAATAGCTAGTAGAATATGACAAAAAAATACAAGATTACATTTAGAAGACATTATGCCTACTAACCAATATAAAGTAAAAGAAAACCTGGACAAACGTTAATAGTTTCTTTCAATACTAGCGTCTTTAGGTCAACAAAACCAGGGGTTCTATGTCTAATCTATGACGGCAGTCTTCAGACTTATCTATCTGGAGGAGGCAGCTTGGTGTCTTCTGGGTCGAGGGAGAGGCACTCGCGTAGATAGTCTTCCATCGAACGGTATACGTGCTCTATCACACCTTTGAGGTCGTGGCCTTCGTCTGCGTAGACCTGTAATTAATGGAATAAAAGAGATGATATTTTTAATAAAAATCAAGTTTAGTAAAAGACAAAGCATACAAAGGACGCCATGCACATGTGCTAATATTTGTTCTTTAATATTTCTAGCACATTTAAAGTAAATTATGTATAACAAAAAAAATTAAATCCCGATTCTTCCCTTGGGACATGGGTCGAACATATTTCTATGTCCGTTTCACTGATTAGATACAGACAAGTAGTTAATCAGATATCTGTGCCTTACCTGATCGAAACAATCTATCGTTTCCCCGGGATTCGAATGCAAGATCCAGTGGCAGGCAACGTTTAACGATTTGGATACACAGGCGGTCAAATTAAAATATAATAAACATGAATAATATAATCGCACATATCCTCACACAGGTTTTCACAAAGTTCTGAGACCGTATAGAAAACTTATAAAGTATTCACAAATTACTAAAAATCCTTTAGAAGTAAGAAAAAATGCAATAAGTTTTTAAAGAGATATAGATGATGGAAATCACATCATTGAATATATTCTTGTGTACAATATTACTTACCTGATATCGAAAGAGCACACCAGCATCAGTTAACGCACGAGCTAGTTGCAACGCGTGAGGGTACGGCGCGCTCATGTCTGCCATGCCGTGTACGAGGTACAGCGCGTGCGCAGGTACGTGATGGGCACGCTGTGATGCATCAGCTTCGACATAGCCTTTGTAATTCACTGACGGCTGACCAAGGATGCGCTCCGTAAATGCTGCGTCTGTAAGACGTTATAGATGACAATCATATTTTTTTTCTAAACGTAATAGAATCTAGGCTTGGAAGGGTGTTATTTAAGAAAGTCATATTAAATACATTAAACTTTTTAGTATATCATTGTTTTTCGGGCTCTTACGACGACTTTGAAAATCATTGATATGCTGAACGATGGCTGTGGAAAACTTATACAATTTATTAAATGAAGCTTTAGTTATTGGACTGGGAAAAACTCGAATATAGAATACCTTTATCCTTTACTCTATCTTTATCTCTTTGTCAATAAGTTGTCAGGGCACGAACTTCACTTACTGTAATAAAGCCAGTCGGTGATTGGTGAAACGGCAATGCCGCACTTCAAAGTGGATTGCTGCGAGCCGAGGAGCATAGCAGTGACATAACCACCATAGCCCCAACCCCACACCGCGACACGTGTAACGTCCAAGAACTTAAAAGTTTCTAATAAGTATCTGAAAATAGACCAATGATCATTATTATATAATACAAAAAAGAGTGGGCCAAATAAAACATCTGTGGCATTTCTGTAGGTAGAGACAAAACTTGGTTTTATAGACTTGCAAGATTGCACTGAAACGTACCTAATAACAGCCAACTGATCTGCCACCTCAACACCTCCAAGACGCCCTCGCAATAGAGCTCGTGGCAGTCCCCTTGCACCAGCTACATCTAACTTCACATAGACCACGTCATTGCGAGATGACATGTATGTACCCCAGTCCACTGAGAACTTGTCTGTCACTTGTTGACTGCCTGGTCTACCGTCCCTGCATTCAGAAAATTTTGTCAAAATAGTGACATCCAGTTAACGGTTTTACAATTTTTTCTGATAAGCAAATGGTATAGTACTTTTAGGAAATACACATTTATATCCCTTAATTATACCACTAACATCAAGTGTTTCATTTAAAGAGTAAGTAACTCGTAAAATACAAACAACTTGGCTACGCACACTTGAACGAGAACCGGAAAAGCAGCATCTCTTAGTTCCTCACGCCATGATGGAGGTAGGAATAGTTGAACGCGAGCTTTTGAACCACTGCTCAATTGTACATCGAAAGACCGACGCGACGGCAAGGCAAGTTCACGTAACCGTACTGATCTGAAAGGAATTATTATGACTATATCAACCTCAATTATTATATTGCTTCAGTTGAAATAGTGTTTTCAGAAGACTTCAAACAACCACAGCCATTTGCCATAACCAACCACCAATAAGGTCAAGGTAGGTTGTCAGTGCGAATTCCTGTGTCACAGATTTTGAAATCGTCTTAAAATATTGTCATGTGCAATTAAGAAAATACGGATATTTAACTAAGTTTCATGAAAAAGTCTCATACCTATAAGGCCTCGTATCATATAATATTCTTTCTAATTTATGTGTTCTAGCATCATGAAGTCCAGCTAACGGCGGTCCTGGCCCACCACATTCTAGCACGTAATGCGTGATGCCGACTTTCGGTCTGGGCGGAGAGAATGTTGCACTCCAGAACGTGCAGTTGGCATAATGTAACCGTGCAGGCCACACTGCTAGCTCACAGGTAAGGCAACGTGGTTCCTCACGTTCTGCCCGAGCTCTCACGGAGTTACTTCCACCTCCGTAACTAGGATCTCGGACGACGTACACTTGCCTCTGACCAGGCCTATCTGCACTACCTGTTAGGACAAACCTTGGTTATCACACGTGATCGGAGATAGCATCAGGTAACACACTTCAAACCATAACAGTGCAGCAAGACGTTGACGTTGTGATTTTGACAGAAAAAGGGGAAAATAATGGCGAAATAAAACAAGGTATATAACCTTGACGCTTGCTAGCATTGACTGCTGTATCACATTTAAAGCACATACTAAAAAGCGCCTAGTCTGACAATACTTTGCTTTATCGTACCAAAGTAAAACAAGCAAGCCCGTCTAAAGGTTAGGGTTAAAAAAATCGGAAACGTTAGTCGATACAATTAACACTCAACTGCATTCAAACTAAATACTTAATTTGATTTGCTTCCTTGACCATATCAGGATGCAGGTTAGGTATGTACAATTTTTCTTTGTCTAAACCTTTAATAGAGAAAATAGTATTAAAGGATGGTTATTTGATATAAGCATCAGAACAAAACAACCACATAGAAGTTATAGAATTAGAAATACATTTTAGTACAGAAGAATAAGAAGATTAAACTTAAATTTGAAACTTAATAAACCTGCTTTCGTTCGAGTACCATAATTTGTAGTTTTTACTACATGTGTTAATAAATTAAAGAAACCTTACCTAAATAATAAACTAAGTTATTTTCCTGGTCCCAGGCCAGGATCTTGACCACCTCGACTTTCCCGTGCGAGAGCACAGCGATGCGTTGGCGCAACACATCCACATGTTTGATATGCGTGTAATATTGACCCCCGCCTTCTTGCACCGCGGCTAGCAGGAGGAAGGCACTGCCGTCTTCTGAATAGACTGGCTTCTCGTGAACTTCTAACCACGGCTCATCCGTTGCTTTCTCGGAGTGCGTCTGAAAGACCACATCGTTTGGTTTTAAGAACACAAATGACATGAGAAAAGCCATCTGCATCAGTTCTAAAGATTCATGCCCCTATTTTGTAGAAGATTTTCAGGGACACGTTATGTTTTAAGACTTTTAGATTTATACATACATATTTAATAGGTGATTACCTCAGTACATGTCCAATTAGGTGCATAACAGCTGCTATATACCGTAAGGTTCTGCGCACGATTCATCCACACTACGCCTATATGCGAATTTTCTTTGCCCACCCACTGGGCTGATATGAGATAATATTCCCTGCAAAGAAAGGGCCCAATGTTAAGATGTGTTGAAATACACAAAGCATTTATTAGCATGTATTTACATGACATGACTAAGGCCCAAGGTCTCAAATATAAATAACAATGTTCATCTTAAATCAATCTTCAAAAGTTACAAATGTGAAGTAAGCAATGAAAATCCACTTTGAATCTGTCTGTTGACGTTCTATACTAATAACCGTCCTGACCTGTCAGTTGACTTACCGTACCAATGACCATTCCGACATACATATCTTGTTAATAAAAATACTTTTGCAATTTTTTTTTTAAATTGCGTACATTCTTTATTATTGACGTTATGCGATTTTGTAATTTCTTATGTAGCATTAGTAAGGTAAAATATTATTTAATAACACTTACATTCCATCTAATGTACTAGGAGGGTTTACTTCCCATCGAGCAGGTGTTGTTACATTTTGTACTTCTACTATCCAAAGCCTCGCTTTTGGTATTGAACTGCCAGGCTGAAAATGTAAAAGTAAAATAAAAAATTATCACGGCAAAAGAGTAGAACTCTTAAAGCTTTTGCTAGAGGTTTTCACATTTCTTAAATATTTTTATATTAAGTATTTGAATTAATTATATTCATTTTACAAGATAATAGCAGATTGTCGTTTAAACAGTCTATATTTTATACTGTCTATTCTACACATTTAAATAGAACACTTCAATGGTTTAAAACCGGATATATATTAGTTAAACTTATTTGACAATTATCAAATACAAGTACTTTGACGTCAGAAACACACTCCATTTTTAGTCTCTCCGTGACCACAGCTGCTGCAAAGCATCCGAAACGTCGGGTTGAAGTTAAAATTATTTTCAAATAAGTTTAACTAATATATAATGCGTTTAAAACAGTTGAAGTGTTTAATTTAAAAGATAGAAGTTTTATATGTACATCATGTATTGAAAAGTCTAATACTATATAGGCTTATAGCATACCATTGCGACAAATAGGTAAAAAATATTTTTGGATGTTGTTTATGTCTGTAGGTGTTATTTCTAAAAATAAATTATTAAAGATCTTTTTCAAGACTAAATTATAATGTAGAAATGTAGCTCATATATTAATTTTTTTCATAATGTTTTTAAAAATATTATTTTTTACTCGCGTTACTTGGCTGTTTGCAGTTAGTTTCAAAGTCGACGCTGGTATTGTGGCTGCAAATTACCCAGAAAAGCTTGTTGAGTGGCCAACTCGCCTCTAGTGGATGGGGCTTGTTATTGCGAAATATTTTCTCATTTTTGTGCGCTTTACAATTTGATTTTAATATTACGAATTCGGTAGGAAACGACTGGAATATATTTTATTTAAAACGTGTCTTGATAATATTAAAAATATGTGCTGTTGAGTATATTCACAATATATTATATGTGTATGTACATATGTATTGTGTATATATCATATGTCATAAGATATTATCAATGTTTGTAAATCTACTATATTCAGCTTAAGTATTTACACCATATTCTTTTTTGCGCTCTTTACCATAGTATTTTTTTCTAGTTGTGTAATTCTGTTTTGGCTAATGTTTAGTGTTAAATATGTTTAACCCATGCATACTATGTAGTTGTAGGAATACCAAATAAACAATAAATAAAGAAATAAAATGGTTTGGAAGTCAAATCTGTAAGGAAACATATTTCTACTGTCGGCTTATGACTCGTAACTCGTAATAAATAATAAACACATATGAAATTCATATAAAGTAACTCAAAAAACAAAACATTTTGACTACGCATACGTATAAATTCATATAGAGTGTGTTCATACCGTAGGATATTTAATACTGATGTGGTCTGGAAAAACGTTAGGCACGCTGTTATTGATGGCTGGCAACAGGAAACCTGACCTGGCGGCAACCGCACCTCCAATACCTTCGGAAATGCGCGGCAGTCGCATCTCTGACACCAAGCTGTCATTGTAACAGACATACATGACGTAGGCCCCATCCGCTGATCCCCAGGTGGCTGATGATGTTTTCGTCACCTCCTCTGAAATCAGAAATCGGATAAAGTAATGTAAAAACTTCATAATACCTATAGCATAAAAACTTACTACAATCAATGCCAATGATTTCAAATTATCATCAATGTGTAATGGACTATATTGTATAAGAAGGCGGGACAAGACTTAAACGAAAAAAAAGAAAAAAATAGCGGCGAGTTTCTTGCTAGTTCTTCAAGTTCGTTCTTCGTTTATTTGGGAACTGGTTATAAATGTAAATTTAGAGTTTTTAATTTTTAACTGCATTGACGTTTGTAAGTGTACCTAGCTACCTACATTAATTAATGATGAAACTGAGTTGTCTCTAGCAAGGTTTGGGAACAATTTTTTTATTATAGAAGGGTACAGACAAGTCTGGAGTTAACTTGATGGATACATCAGATAATGCACAATTATTTGAACTATCAGCGCATATATCTAACAGCATTGTGTAAAATACTGTCTGTAGTTTACGTGAGCAGTGCACATTTAAAGAAGGATGGAGGGTGTCTCTGACGTCAAACTAAAAAACTGCTATGCAAGCGCCATCTGTTTTGTTAAAGTTTGAATTTTCAAATAAGTTTAACTAATATATATCGCGTTTTAAGCCATTAAAGTGTTTTATTTAAAAGCATTGTGTAAACTCAATATTTTTCAGGGATAAAAACTGTCTGTCATACCATAATAAACTTTGATCCCACCTTAATTGTGTTCAAGGCATATAAGGCTATATTTCAGCGGTGTCTCGACCGTGATGCCACAAATGCTTCTGTGTAATGCAACAAGTTTGTACGAGGAATATTTGCACCAACCTGCACTATCTTGAAACTACCCGCGGGAATTTCATCAATTCGATACTAAGTTTGTAGCGAAAATCAAACTTTGCCAAACTTTTATAATGTGTAGCCGATTTATGTTATGTCAGTATTAAATTTTAAACTTGACTGATATTTAAAGTTTCTTTCAAGTTTCACGATTTAAGCTGCAAACGTTGCGATATGACGTGTTTTATCGATTTTTTTCTTTAAAATTAACCTAACGACTTTAGAAAAAAACTACTGAACAGCTGGTAAAATGCAGAGTTATATAGTCATTTACGTAAAATAGGTGATTGTTATAATATTATATCAAATGTAATAAGACAGATACTTGGTATATTAGCTGTGCTGTTCTGCTTAGTGAAAAACACTCAAATCTTTGATTTCGGATGCTTTGCAACAGCCGTGGTTACAGGGGGACTGAAGCTGGAGGCTGTCCCTAATGTCAAAACTGCTACGACTACGACAAAACAGATGGCACTATTGTAGCAGATTTTCTGACATTAGGGAGAGCCTCTTTCGTCTCCACTGTGACCAGGGCTGCAGCAAAGCATCCAAAACGTCGGCCTGTACTTAAGCTAAATTGTAAATAAGTTAACTAATATATTTCGCGTTTTAAACCGTTTAAAGTGTTTTATTTAAAATTTCAATAGAAAACGAAGCTGTTTTCTGAATATTTATTCTCATTAGCGGCTTAAAAGAGCCCCGTACGTTATGGAAAACCTTTCCCAGTGTATTTACTCTTACACCTGAACTGAAACAACTCACCCTGATACAACCAATCCGAAACACCATTGTACACGTTTCCAAAACGAGCGTCTTTACTGAGTCGGAGTAAAGGTGCTCTGCGTGCGGGCGGGGCTGGTCTTGCGAGCACTTCGTTGTCCGCCGCCAAGAGTAGAGCGCCTTCCGTCCCAAGCCATGCTGCATGCTGCCACTCCCAGCTGCCTTGACCTTCGCCGAACAGCGGTATGTGGTGGCTGTTATAACAGAAAGACTTAATAAGAACTTTTTCTGCGAAAGAGAAGTATTTTTCTTAACTAAATGACAAATAGGAACGAAGAAACAAAGGGAAAAATTATTTATCTTTGAGGGTTTCCTTTGCGTTCGCTGCGGAAACGGTTTAAGATACCAAAAAATATATGTATGAAAGAACAATTTTCTATTAATGATCCAAAAAAAAGGCCGCATCATTAACTGTCTATCTTTTAAGATTAACTCGCAAGAACGTGGGGCCCGAACAATGTTAATTGCATAAGTATATTTTCCACACAGACGAAGTCGCGGGCACAGCTAGTTTTAACAATTAAATTAACGATCATATCTCCTATCGCATTACAAAGTAAATGGGATTAATAATCGTCTCAATGCTGAGAATGTAATAATCTTTGGATAAATCTAGTCCAGATCTAGACTTTATATTTGCTCCTATAGAACATTTTAATTGCGCGATAATAAATCGACGGATTTCCGTGATAAAGTAGGGATTTGAATGCGATTTAAATTCAGCTCCACAGCTGGTGGGGATCATAACTATTTTATGGTACTGCAGATCATGTTTTCTTTGTCAAGAAGTGGCGTTATCTTTGAAAATATTCTTATTACGTTTTGAAACCAGATTTATATTAATTACATTTTTCAATTTATATTCTTGGGCAAGTCGCGTCCGTGGCTCAATGTTTTAACCCGTTGCTTAGCAACGGGAGAAAACCTGAGAGGGTGGTTCTAGGTCCTGCATCTTTAGAGAAAATACTGTTTCGGTTGAGCAGAGCACAAGAAGTCTGATTAAACATTATGATGTAAATAAATGGTTACCAATAAAATTGTATCTATTTGGACAAGCTCTAATAATTTAACTCCTGTTTTTTTATGTATGTATATATTTATTTGACCATCAATATGACCATGTTATGGTCAAATAACACTATTACAAACGTATAACAACATTACCTAGCATTACGTTAAGCGCGAAAAGTCCTGACTTCGAACACCAGGGATACAATTGTTACGATCGAACAGGTGGCAAAAGATCTACATGCCTCTAAATACTGATCAGTTTGACAAACACAGAAAGTGGGATTTCACACACTCAAACCTTTTATTTTAAATTTGGTCTATAAAAATACTTTATTCTTACAAAGTGTTTAATGTACATATTTGTGCAAACATTTAAAACTATGCAATAAAACGTTACGCTGCTTTGATATTTCAAAAGTTTAGTGGACACGGCTTACACCAACAGAACAAAGTTATTTTTCTCAAAAGTATAAATGTTTGCCGTTGTACTTACTGAAGAGGTGTCTGTAAAGACTATAAATCTACTTTATAAGATTCGCGCTAGCATTTAGCTCAAACTTTAAAGATCTTAAAAATTCACAAATATTTTTTTATGACTTAAAAAGACAGACCGGTCCGGACTAGACAGAGAGATGAGAAAGAATTTTGTGTACTTGATGAAACGTGAAATAGCCATAATAATGACACATTTCAACGGATTAAATGGCGAAATATATTAAATAACTTATTATGTTACGAGAGATGCCGAAAAGCATCCGCAACGTCGAGCAGTAAATACGTAGTTTTAGTAAAGTTAAGCAAAATATTTCGCGTTTTAAACTGTTAATAGTGTTCCAAAATGGTGTTTATTAAGATACGCTGTCGATTTACTTCGGTTTATATTCGAGACACTTTAGCTGTTTTTATTGCGCTGTAAAAATTTAATTAAATCTTTCGCGATATTTTTGTAATCAAAAGAAAACAGAGCGGGCGCGAAGAAATGTCGGAGACGTCATTAAAATTCCTCCGCACCTCCATGCTATGTTATTCTATGCGCTGTATTATTTTTTCGAATGCTTGACGTTTCATTTACATTCGTATGTATCAAATTAATCACAATGAGAAACATTCGTTCCAATATATACTAATATTATAAAGCTTAAGAGTGTGTTTGTTTGACGACGCTAATCGCAGGACTAGTGGTATAAATTAAAAAAAATGTTTTAGACAGGCCATTTAACGAGAATGTTAATGCTTTATAATTATATTTTATAAAATAGCAGGCTGTCAGTAATTAGAGCGAAGAAACGGAGGGAAATGTAGATCAAACGGGGAAGATTATTATATCTCGAAGGCCGTTGTGTGCATCGTGAAAATAATTCAAGAATCCCAAAAAACTATATATGAAAGAATGATGCATCTTTAAAACATCTAAAAACATGTCCACGACGGTATAACATCTATTGTTGTTTGCAAAAATATCGTACGAAGTCGCAGGCGCAGCTAGTCTATAATATTCCAGGGTCAGGCGTGGGCGCTCCTATTAGGCTACTGTACATTCGACTGTGAATTTCGAGATTCGATCTTGGGCAAAATGTTACTTCCAGTTGAAGTGTTAATCCCTTGCTAATTTGATTATATTCTTTAATCTAGTGGCGGTAGTTGTAAAAGCCACGCGGAGCAGCTAAGTCTCTCGTAATATGCCTTGTGAAAATTCAGTACAAGAGCACTTGTCTTGTAGAGTAAAACACATTGCCTATCTCGCGAATATCTTCTTCCTAAGATATAAATAATATCTTTTCACGGGTAAGAATATATTGTTAAGTAAAACAATATTTTCCATCTAGATTATTCTCAACGTTGCGGATGATTAAAAATCTCTTTTGTTCGAAACGCGGCAGCGCCTTGGGCACTGAAATAAAAGCACCATTCCGATTCGCGCCAATTACGCCTATTTAACTGGCGGAACTAATTAGAAATACTAATTACGTTCGACATTTTTCTTTTATTCAACCTTTTGTTTATTGTACCTATCTATAACTGCATATGGATAAATAGTGTAGTCTTGAAGGAAAACGATTATTTGTACTCGTATGTTGCTTTAAACTTACATTGACGCGGTTTTAATTCATAAAAAAAACGATTTAAACGCAATCTATTAGTTGTACCTTCATTATTCTTTACCCCCAAAAAGCATCACGAGATATAGTTAAAATATATTTAATATCCCGTTTTATTCAGTTGAAAAAAATTCATTACTTTAAATATTGTTTAGCACATATTTGTTAGAAGCTCTGCATTAAGCTTTAAACTCACTTAAGTTTAGGTTTGACGTATCATTTGTTGTGTTTGGTAGAGGACGGCCTCGGTTTAACTTCATGGATCCCATGTAATGTCCCACCCTATAGCTGTTGACTCATTTTTATCGGTTTATTTTTATTTTACATCGTATTATATGGTAACACCGAACCTCCAAAGCCAAAATAAGTCGACAACACATCTTAATTAGTTGTAATGTAGCTGAAATTATTCACCGTTCAACATATAAACCCTATACATGTCTTTCCTCACATGGTATAAAAAACATGTACTTATTACAATTAATAATGAAAACTCTCAATACTCACTCATTAGTGACGTCATAAACTGTGTAGTGGGCAGTGAACGTCCGTCGATATACCTGTTAATTCATCATTCGATTAGTTAACTGAAAACTAACATTGATCCACAATAGTAGCATGGCAATCGTAGTATCTTTTCTATAAATAAATAAAGTTTATAGAGCGAAAGTATTTGAATGTATCAAAATATTAAATCATAAAACATTAAATTGCGCGAGGAATACATTGGGAATTAAAACCACTTAAAAATCTAAAGGAAACATTAACGGTTATAAATGTAAAAGAAAAAAATAATTTGAAAATAAGTTTAACTAATACATTTCGCTTTTAAACCGTTAAAGTGTTTTATTACTACTCGCGTTAACTACAACAGTATTCACTTAAAAATGTCCCAATAAAAATCCATGAAAATTTAACTTAGATGTAATCCGTGCAAAGATCAAGGAAGTCTCTAAGAAACCAATACAAAAAAAAAACAATTTCCAATATAAACACACCTAAATACTGTCTATAGTTTACGCGAGTAGTAGACATTTAAATAAAACACTTTAACGGTTTAAAACGCGATATATTAGTTAAACTTATTTGAAAATGATTTTTAACTTCGGCCCGATGTTTCGGATGGTCTCCCCGTGACCACGGCTGCTGCAAAGCATCTTTAAACTGTTTTATTTAAATAAAACATACCTCTTTAATATTGTGTTGGAACAGCACATATCGTAGATTCGGTGAACACTGGTATCCGCGAACGTTTAACTGCCTCTGTTGGAAAAAGGAAATTCAAATGAGTGTAGGAAAGGGGATAAAAATTAAAGAAACATCGAGAAGTTTTTAAACTATTTGTAAATGGAGTTATTATTAACCTATTTAATAACGACCGAAAAAGGAACGTTTCTTTTTTATCCTGACACGGTACTTTGAATTGGTAAAGCGACAGCACGGTGCAGTATGGAGGCAGATTCAAGTCATAATAATATAAATAAAAGCTATTCCGGTCTAAACTGTGTAATTGAGAAAATGCAAACTTTCCAAAATGGCCGCGAAAGCCGAAAAAGCTTTTATACAAAAACTAATATTTTTTTTGCATAACAGCCAATTGCTTACATGTCGAACTAAATGTGCAAATTATAATTCAAATAATGTAACAATTTTCACACGTAAATTTAAAATTTGAGCAGGCCTTGAAAGCGATAATAAAGAAGAAAAATGCTGAAATTCAAGACTGCTTCATTTAGATTTCATTTAAGATGCGGCCTTCTTAGGATGCCGCGAAGAAATAAAATATTTTATCGCTTCAGCGAATGTTCTAGGGGAGTTATAATAATTGTTAGGTATGTACTCGAATCTACCTACACTTAGATTATTATTTTCTGATTTCTGTTTTGACTCAGGGTTTAGCAATTAGTAACGAATTAATCAAATACAGACACACTAATCAACTTCACTGTTACTTATTTTAAAATTAAGGAAAAAAAATATAGCAGGGGCATTTCTGAGTCGGTCTAAAAATAATTGTGTATTTGTCTTGTTTTCTTTTTTTAGTATAAGTTTTTACTTAATTTATTTAATGTATCATTTTTTGTAATATGTGTAGATTTATATGTTGGATGTTGTGCATTCATGACGCCATCTGTTATCTTTGTATGTTTATATGTACGTTTTACTTGAATTGACAAGTGTGGGGCATCACTAAAAATCGGCGTTGTACATGCTTCCAGATACAAAAGAGGAGTGTTGTCTATCCACATGCATCTCATTTAATAAGTATTGCAGTTTTGTTTATTTGTCTATATAATTAATGATTTGTTTTAAATAATTAGCTTTGTTTGCCCATTGAAGCGAAATCTTATATAACATTTGTTTTTCAGGATTTGAACCAACTTCACATTTCATACAAAGAAATTATACTGTGTTAAGTCGATCATATTATATGTTTGATACCATTCACATCAGAATCTTAATAGCATCAATTGAGCACAGTAACTGGAGACTCTAAAACTTCATGTGAGTCACTAATTCCATCACATAACGCGAACTCTGAGGGATTATTGAGCCGTTTAAAAACGAGAATTCCCTTTTATCGGGTTTCAAATCAGCTTAATTCCAGGGTTGTTAGGAACGGTTTGTTATGAACCGCTTGTATCGTTCAATGACTGAGTAGGACCGGCTAATATGGAGTTTACTTGATGGAAGATGACGAAACGAATTGAGATCTACACTCGAATTTGGTAGACCACTAGCTTTTTCTACATTTTTACAGAACATACTCAGGTACTTTTTATTAGGATTATGTTTTATTTTATTTGTTTAAATCCGTTAGTTTAATATAGCTTCTGGCACTGAAAACCACCGCTTTACCGCTACTCTTAGGTGGTGATGCACAATCCCAGTGCTTTTCCAATTTGACAAGCACTCCTGTTCTATGTTGGCTTTAGGTATTCGATATTCCAGAGAAAAACGAAACGGGCTTTAATTGTTTAGAAAGATAAAATTTTCCCAAACGTGTGGAGGTCTCCTATACTATCCTACCGGTTGTGGTTAATTTTGAAGTCGGACTTAAAGAATCAGGAAATACAGTAGTATACATGTGAATACGATAAGAGTATAAGCAAAGAAACGTATGGATATAATGTCATAAAAATTAGAAATATAAGTTCAATTGTTTTGTCTAATGTTTCAAAAAAAATTGTGGGGTTCCCTTGATGTAAGTTGAAAAAAACCCAGCCATACAATATTGCAGAGAGATGCGCTATCGACCCATTTTAGTTTTGGATATACAAAAAGCCGTAAACTGAAATATGCTTAAACCTCACCCTTTCATCTGTGGACGGAGGTTCATGAGCCGGAAGGAATTTCGATCTTTCTACCATCAATTTAACACTCAGAAATCTAGACCAAGCTCAATTTGTTCCAGGAAAGTTATAAATTGAGAAAATTTAATATTTGAGAATTGTCCCAGGTTTGGAAGACCACGATATATCGGAAACTTTAAAGACTAATAAAGAAGCTGTAAGTCTTGAGTCTACTAAAATAGCAACAGCAAGAGTAAACCTATTTAATAGTAAGACGGGGATGTAATTGCATAAGATGATGAAGCGGTGGTATAAGTCATCTGGCCGACAGGCGAGAAGGGTGTCACTTTAGCGGCTAGTTGAAGTAACGAGCAATTTGCCTTGCGAAGATTCAATTTGCATTGTTTTGCATCCCAACCGGGGTCTAGCGAAGAAAAGATTAATTAGAAATGTTTAAGCGTGCGATTTATATGCAACAATCATATTGTGTCTTACAACATTGACGTCTAGATTGAATTATTGTCTTGGAGTTATGACGATCTCGTCAATACAACGGCAGCAATGTACATCAACGTATTGTGGGCCCAATCCCCACGAACAGGTTTCTAATAAATTTATAATTATTCAACACATCTTGGAACATCTGGACATTAAATTGGTAGAGTATTGAATTCTTCCGTCCGGGTTACGTACCAAAGTGCACAGATGAAACGACCGTGTTTAGTCGCGTTTCAATCAATGGTATTCTAAATATCTAAAGCCAAAATAGACCACCGCATCGTTACCATGTAATATGCCCGGAGTACCTATTTCGCTTACCATCAAGGGAACCCCCTTTTTTTACTAATGGTGTAAATGCCTAATGCACGCTCACGTCCGGCAATATGGGTATAATAATATAATGACATGGGGAGTGTGGTAATTCGTATAGCCGACCAGAACCACTAAACACACCATCAGCCCTCTGCGGTGCTTCGAGGAAGCCCTGGTATCAAGTTAACCCTAAGTTTGTAACCTCCTCATGACAAAAATACACTTATAATATTTATCTGTTTTTGACTACGGTTAACTACAAACACACATCCATGTATACACCCAAGTACTTATTCCGTTATTTCAATAAACGTTTGCTCTTCCAATATTTTGATTAAATAAGTGTTACAATTCGTAGTAGATAAACAAGATATTCCAGACTTACAAGAGTATGGTTAGTGACTAGCACACTAAGTGTGTTGTTGAACGTATCCAATGCCAGCAGGCCTCCGTCGTCCGCCTGATACACGAGCTGATGCGAGCTCACCCACGTGGTGGGGAGACGGTCTCCAGCCAGGTCACCGCGCAAGAATTCGTCCAGGCGCATCCGCCGACCAGACCAGTATAACAGTTCGTCCACATATCTAGAGATACAGATAATAATCTTAGATAAATTTTACGTAAAAGTAAGTAATTAACCATAAAAACTTTATGGTCTGTTTTCTACCTATGAATACAACACAATAAGTATTTAAGAAGATTAAACCAAACGTTGTTTGAACAGGTATAATTTAAGTTATTTTACGTAAAATCGTTATTAAATTGAATATCATGGGGCGAATAAATGCAAGTCGCCCAAGGAAATTTCGTGTCGGCGACGGAAACCGGTCAAATAGAATTTATGGATGTCATTCGTTAAATGCAATGGTCAAATAAGGTTCACTGCGTCGCATTGCAGTGGATACGTGGAAGAAATGAAAGAAATACCTTTCAAGTTGGGTAGGCTTAGTCGTGCAACTTTCACTGAGTTATTATATGCTTTACGAAGTTACCTACTGCTATGGCATACGTATTTATCCCCGATTGTACTTGTAAATGTTTTTTAAACCAACATGTTCTATCGACTTTTAAATTTAGAATTTAAAATTCGGTTTTTATTTATTTAAACAGCAGACAGAAAATAGACATGTCGTTTACGCGACAAAACGTAGACCATTCAATTAAGATATCTCCAAATTTAAATAAAACACTTTAACGGTTTAAATGCGATATATTTTAGTTAAACTTGTTTGCTAATTATTTTTAACGGCCCGCAGTTTCGGATGCTTTGCAGCGGCCGTGGTCACGGGGAGACAGAAAATGGAGAATGTCTCTTACGTCAAAGTAAAAATTTAACAATATGACTTTCTAATAAGTTTAACTAAAATATATCGCGTTTTAAACCGTTAAAGTGTTTTATTTAATTTGCGTAAACTAAAGACAGTATATATCCAAAATTTTTATTTAATTTATTCGTACCCTATCGATCTGTTGTTAATTTATTTTATGTTCTATTATTATAATTAATATTTACAGTTAGCTTAACTTTTTACAATTCACATAAGTTATTTAAAACCTTTTGGAATTTTAGTTTTAGTCTAGTTATTTTATACATAATCCGTTTGGAAGGTTTTGTAGCTAAGGTCCTTTGCTAGTGCAGGATAAATTTACCTACTTATATAGTTTATACTTTGACGTCCTTTTAGTGTCTTTTTCAATAAATAATATGACTTGACGAAACTGTTCCAACAGTCTCCTTATCACAACACGATATCAGAATTAAAGGGGATTGTATTACTCACCCTAACAGATAGATAGCTGTGACGATGCCAGCGATAACGAAACTTATGACCATCAAAGAAAATATGATGCTCCTCCAATTGTGTCCATCTCCGGGGTAGAGATCCTAAAATAAAGGCACTGTTATTGAACATTTTACGATATCCTTTATCATGCTGTTGTGACTTCTAACCTTTTTTTATATTACACGCGTATCTACTTGGACTTGTCTTGTAAAAAGATATATTCGTCTTAAGATATGGAAAACTATATATTATAAATACATATCCGGCTCGAAGGACCAAAAGGATGTTGTTCATGGCGTGACCAGTGGGGGGATGGAGTGTTAATTAATAAATACAGATTATTGGTGATACCTGAAAGACTTATTACTAAAGTAATAAGATAGATAGATGATGACTTGATAATAATTGATAATTGCTAAGTCAGAAAGGATCAAGTAGGGCAGTCAGTAGCTCACTGATTGCTTAATATTTTAATGTAAGGAAATCTTGTCTGTGTTAGCTGTCAAATCAGAAGTTCCGAATCAAGAAGTTTTGTTTCAGAAGGATTATAATTAGTTGAAAATATGTTGCACTCGGTGGGGATCGAATCCACGATCCGTTGATTGTACATTACTATCAATAGAACAACGAGTTCCTCATAGCCATAATCTTATTGATGCTACAGACTCGAGGAACGGTAAGTAAAGTGCAGTAACCTCTTCTTTGGCAGACTTGGGGTCGGCGACTTGCAGAGTCTCGTCGGGCGGGAGGCGCCAGGAGCCACCGCCGCCGCCGCCGCCCGAGCGGTCTGTATGGCCGGTGGCGTGCATGCGCCGCCGCCGCAACCGCGCGCGCACCCGCCACCGCGCCGAGCTATGCGCCCGCGCACGCCACTCCCTCCACCACGCTCCCGCTCGCCACTGCAGCGCCTCCCCTTTGCGCCCGCGCTGAACGCTCCATCACTGAAACAAGTTCATCACGACATTAGATTCACCTAGAACTAACAGTTTAGTTTATTGTTGACGACGTCCTCATATACTTAATACTATGACATACATTTAGAAAAACGTTTAAATAAAACACTTTAACGGTTTAAAACGCGATATATTTTAGACTTGTTTGAAAATTATTTTTAACTACGGTCCGACGTTTCGGATGCTTTGCAGTAGAGATGCAACGGATATCCGGTTACTATTCGGTATCCGGCCTATCCGGCCACTATTTTACTATCCGGCCGAATACCGGATAGTTGCGCACTATCCGGCCGGATACCGAATAGTGATTTTTTGCTATTAAACTTTGAAAAATGTTATTATAACTACAAAAATTGATAATGTGTTGATAATTGATAAATTACCAATATTCGTTTATTAGTTTAAAAATCGAAAATAAATTTTAAAAAATTCGACTCGGAAGACTTGAACCGGCATCGTCAGCGTTCCGTGCTGTTGTACCAATTGAGCTACCGAGTACCTACACCTTTTCGATTTTTCAACTTATTGATACATGCACACTCGCGAATGTGTCAACCTTAACACTTGCGTATTAAGGTTATGTCTTATGCTTTGAGTTAAGAAATAGAGTGAAATTACAATTTTCGATTTTTAAATTAAAGTGCTTTTGTGCAATAACATGTAAAAAATAATAATTTTTCACGTTTTTAGTTTTAACGTACAATTTAAACTTATCAAAATCCATTCAACCAATCGTAGCGTAGTTGTTAATTTTTAATCAATAAATAAGTGTGCCATATAAATAAAAAGGGAGAACAATACGTAACAGGTTGAATCTTGCACGACGCGCGCCCGCCAAACTAAAATGTACATAGGTATGTTTGGAGGCCGATATTCGGCGGCCGGATACCGGATATTCGGCCAGTTAGGCCGAAACCGGTCGTATCCGGCCAACAACTTCCGTTGCAACTTTGCAGTGCCTTTCTAAAAGAGCTCAGGCATGTTTCATTCTCAAAACATAAATACTGTTATCCTTTAATACTTGTAATTCCGTCTACGAAAGGATATCTGGCAACTCGTTGTTCTAATGGTAGTAATGGAAGGCTAAAAATCAACGGGTCGTGGGTTTAATCCCCACCGAGTCCAACGTGTTTCTAATTTTTTAAAGAGTTGGACTTCGTCTGGGAAACTGGTATTAAATGGGTTATAGGAATATCCAAATTCCGTACAGGTCATGAACCACCGCCCAAAGATGAAAAAGCCGTGAAGTTTAATCGCGTTTCGGTTTTAGTCCGTGTGAATTTCCGAATATCGAAAGCCGAAATAGGTCGATAGCGCAATCCCAGCGCAACCCCATGCCTATCTGTCCTCTTCTAAATTAAAAAAAAACTTCGCCGCCGACAAATGAGTATGTGGAATATTTAAGTGGAACATTGCCGCAACGCGTGTCCGATGTTACTTGACACTGCGGTTTTGCGCTAGTCTCCGCGGTTGGCTGGTAATTGCCGATGCTTTGTGGAAGCTGAGAGCGAAGCTACAAATTTAAAACTCGACCTTTTTACCTAGAACTGTAACAAGAGCACTGTAGCTACTAGAAAAAACTTTAGCTGTAGAGTTTAATATTTAAACTTATTATAATAAAGGATGACAAACGAGATTCACTAAAAATACAACAAAATCTCAACAAATTGCGTTGCCGATCTATTTTCATTTTGAATATTCGTAAATCAACTAGAACTAAAAACTCGATAAATTCTTGGGTCATATGATTAAGACCTGAAAGTCCCAGCATAAAGAATTAAACTTAAGAGCTGATGGTGAAGACGAAATATGAAAAAGAATAATATTTACCTGTCATTGAAATCTCTGAATTAGTGTAAATCTCTAAAAGTCATCTATGAACATAAAACACTGTCTACAGTTTATGCGAGTAGTACACATTTAAATAAAACACTTTAACGGTTTAAAGCGCAATATATATTAGTTAAACTTATTTGAAAATTATTGCCGTATCAGCCGTGGTCACGTGGAGATGGTTGCTGCAAAGCATCCGAAACGTCGGGCCGTAGTTAAAATAATTTATATATGTAACTAATATATATCGCGTTTTAAACCGCTAAAAGTGATAATTTAAATGCGAACTACTTGCGTAAACTACAGACAATATTCGTTTATTATGTAAACTATAGCTATAGTTAAAACATAACTAATATAATATAAAATATTGCTTTAATTTATTGGAGTTATATTCGATTATTGATATTGGTTTCGGCATACAAGTTTTGCAAATATTTGTCAGAAGAAGAAGTGTTATCATTCTGAAGGTCGATGCGATTAAAAACTAATTGTTATAAAAGTTGTTTTATTTCTAGGAGAAAAGAGATAAAGTATTGGACGTAAGCCAACAAGGCCGCGCGCCCGCACCTTTTAGCATTCGTCCAGCGGTAGCTTTACGATTCTATAAAGTTCGTTTTAGTGTTCTCGATTAGATTTTTTCGATCGATGCTTTTATTAGTAAGTAGTAGATGCATGCTACCGTGTACTTTTCAACTGCCCTGAGTAAATTTGTATTCCTTTCTTTTTTAACTGTTTGTATTGTTTTTTAAACTAATAAGATTTCAAGAGATGTTTGTCTTTAAAAGATACATGCGTACAATACATATTAAACAATATTTTTATATAATATCCCACGAGCAATGGTCCAGAAGTTATAACAAAGGTTTACGTATTAGATGGGGGTGATGATGAATGGGAGTTCAGCGTTACTGTTGTTTCGAGTATTTTGTTAATTTTCTTAATATATATGTCAGTAGGAAACACTAAGAATAATTACTTCTACTTTTTCATATACTCTGTGCCAGAACCGAGTGCCTCTCGTCGTGGCTCGAATATTTTCGTTGAAGCCAGAACCTGCCCTTCAGCAGCGGCAGCGGTATAAAAATGGTAACTTATATTCGTTTCACGCGTTTGCTACACAAATATTGTTTTACTATTTAGTTTTCTCGATAAGTAACTAGTTAATTACATTATTTTTAACAATACGTTTTTTATGTGTCTTTTTTTCTTCTCTCTTTAAAGAAGCTACTAGAATCCACAATCAATACATGTTACCCGAAAAGATATACAAAAACAAGGAATGGATAGAAATCGGTTTAAGTTAAAGCATCGATGCGGACTTGGCACTAAAAACGCTGACACTTGATCTACTTTGTAGAGAAAGGCGTGCTAATTGTAATCAGTGCCAGAAAAGATCGTAAGAGAGCGTCCATAGATTTTTATCTAGGCCGCAAAATGTTGGCACTTTTGTCAGGATTTAGTCGGACGAAGGAGAACTAACGATTATGGTTTAGCTTTAACAACCTCACCACTTAGTAATAGGGGTTTTGGTTAGTTAAAGAAATCCCGTTTTCACTGGGGCATGGGCCGAAAATCGTCTGTGTCTGGTTTAATGATTGATTTTATTTACAGTCATGTAGTCGATAAGACTTCTTCCCTGCTCGACCGAAACTATTCCTATTTTTTTTTTACTATTAAACTTTCCTTATTTTATTTATTTTATTTCCTATTTATTCTCCACAATGATTCAATTTCGGTCTGTGGATTTCCGAATACCCAAAGCCAATATCGGTCGACAGCACACCTTGTTTAGAGTATTTCACCCTCCATTGAGTGAACTTATGCTTGTCTTCCTTTATTTATTTCACACTTAGGTACACCAAACAGAACATACAGATACTATGCAATTTAAAACTATAGAGTGTACCGGGCGGCCTTATCGCTATAAGCGATCTCTTCCAGGCAACCCGAGTAGAAAGAGACTTAACGATTAATTAAAAACTATACAGTGTGCAAGAAGTGCAAAACTTACTAATAACTTAATATTACTTAAACTAAACAAAAAAAACTTAAATTAATAATAATAAATACCCATCAAAATAAAAAAAATAGAAAAAGGAAAGTGAAATTTATTAACATGATAAGGGCAGTAGATGTTTATATAAAAGACTCTTGAAGGAAGGAGACAATCGGACGGAGTCCGGTAGATAGTTCCAAAGTTTTGCAGCAGAGATGGAAAAGGAGTGACCAGCAAAGTTCGTTGAGTGAGTGGGAATTTCTAGAATAAACCTTTCCGCAGACCGCAGGCCATAGGTGTAAGGGCCCAAAATTTGAAAGATCGTTGGAGGTATGTAGGTGCAGTGCGATTAAAGACGATAGAGTACAGAAGGTGTAGAGTATGCGAATCACGTCTAAGCCGAATGGGTAGTCAACCAAGCTGCTTACGGTAAGTAGAGATATGATCGTATTTACGAAGGCCAAAAATGAACCGGATGCAAAAATTCTGTAAACGGTCGAGCTCGTCAAGTAGATCTTCATTCATGTTATGAAAAAGTAACAAGTCTGTATCTATCTAACTTCTTAAAATAACTCAGTAAAGATAGTAATATTATTATTTACTATCTCTCTTTACATTGTATTTATTTAAAACGCGATCGTTAAAAGTGTTTATTTAAATGTGTAGGTAAACTACAAACGATAATAAACATTTTTGTTCGAGTGTGAAATACATCATTGCGAGTTTGCGGTGCAAATACTACGATGAAATGTAAAAAGTTATCGAAATTAATTTATCGCAGAAATTGAATGAGGCATTCGATTCAACAATCGAATTACCAGCTGGCACGACGCCAAAGTTTAGTGCTAATATCGAAAAAGTTTTGAATAATTGTCACCCCAAAACATACTTTCAGTGTTTGAATAAATTATAATTGATTGTTAAATCATTATTTCCTAACTCTAATGGCGACCTTTTATAGACTTTTTTATTGGCTAATCGACTATAACTAAAAAAATAAACAAAAAATGATCATTGTCCCCGTGACCACGGCTGCAACAAAGCATCCGATACGTCGGACCGAAGTTAAAAATCATTTTCAAATAAGTTTAACTAAAATATCGAGTTTTAACCCGTTGATAATAACGGAGTTGTAGGAGAACAAAATCGCGTTTAGGTTTCATTCAGTTAATTTTTGTTTGTTTAGCTGTTAAGTAGGTACATACATTTTTTATTTTATTTTATTAACAATAAATTGTTTGTTAAATGGCGTTTAAAGAATTGTATATCTCAGTTTATATATTAGATAGGAATTCATTCTTACATAATATGACACGGGTACTAATACTTCGTGTATACCTATATAACTTCATATAATGCACACATTCAATTTCTTACGTAATCCATTGATATAATCCACCCCCTGAGTTGGCCCTTTCGATCCCCATACTTAAGTAATAAGAAAATGGGGATTTCCTCATAATAACTTATGACGAAGCACTTTTACCTACTGACTTGCTTATCACGATCCTAAGATACTTACAATATAGACCTTTAAGTTGAATAAAACATGATATGTAGATACCATAATTTTTTCAAAATTTAATATGTACTTACAAGCAAATAACATTTCACATCTGTAAGTAAAAATCTAGAATGTAAAACTAGAATTACATTGAATCGAAAATAAATTGAAAAAATTTTCGACTCGGGCAGGACTTGAACCGGTATCGTCAGCGTTCCGTGCCGTTGCTCTACCAATTGAGCTACCGAGTTCGTAGTCTCCTCATCGTCGAATTTTTTCAACTTATTGATACATGCACTTCCCGCGCCATGTAATTTCAACCTTAATACGCAAGTGTTAGTGTATACTGTATACCTTGATTAAACTTCATAGAAGGACAGAAAAGAAAGAGTTTCATTTGATATATAATTGACTTTATGTTAATACTGTCTATAGTTTACGAAAGTAGTACACAATGAAATAAAATACTTTAACGGTTTAAAACGCGATATTATTAGTTACCAATATTAATACTACTACTACTACTAGTTAACTAATATATCGCGTTTTAAACCGTTAAAGTGTTTTATTTAAATAATTGTATGTAGTTCAAATTAGTTTAGTTCGATGGCGAAACGTCGAGAACCTCTTCTCGCTCATATCGGCCGAACAGCCCGAATGACAATGATATGTATACGTATGTTATTGTAAAACAAAACACGTCAAGCAAACGAGTAGAAACTTTTATGTATTGCTGTATGTATACTAAAATGTATAGAACATACAAAACACATAAGAATTAAAGTGACTGCACTTAGTGGAATTTTTGAAACAGCCAGACATTTCATCGGCGGTTATCTTTGAAGTTGCCACTCTTATTGGCTTTTGTTTAAAATCCGCTTCATTTCAAGAAGTTTATTGTCCCTTTTGTTTCTGTCTCGAAAGCTTTCTCGTGTCTTATCTTCTACCCGCTACTACTTAGCGCTGGCTTACCCTTGTCTTTGAATCTTTACTTGTTCTTATTATATTTTACTGAAACCATTCGGAACTTAAAATTTTTCTCGAAATTTCGGCGCAATTTACACTTGAACCATTTCTAGTTTCGAAATATTCATTTTTCTCGTAACCCTTACTTAAAAATAGGTTGTATTAATATACTTCGCGTTTTAAACAGTTAAAAAAGTCTTATGTTTACTACTTGCAATGACTTTTAAGTTGTACCTATACAACTATAAATAATAGTTTAGTACCTATATCACTGTATTTTCACCTGATTTCTATTAATTACTGCAAATAAGAAAAACAGTAATTACGCCATTTATCCTCGGGGAAGGATCGAACCGAAGTTTTTCGGAATAACTTGAATAGGAAAAGTTTCAGAAATAAATGGTGTGAAATGGTCTGGATAGGAACCTTTGACAATGCACATTGTATGCGACGAATCCATCTTACCTTTTAGAAAGTAATTCTGGTAATATTTTTGAGAAAGCTTAAACCATTTACTAGTTTTTCGTATTAGCTACAACTGCTTATGTGGACAAACAACGGCCTTGTTGGACTAATTGAAAAAGGCCGTTCAGTTTAAGTGCGTTTCGATTACAGTCTGTGGATTTCCGATTGTCCAAAGCGAAAAAAAGCTCAGTAGCGCATCGTGTGGAGATGTTAGGTTAAAAAAAACAAACAAAAGTTTCTCCGTTAGTTTCGTTAGCAAGTAATTAAATTATTGGCGGTCGTCGTTTACAAACCCATTGTGAAGCGGTTTGGTTGTTCTAATTCTTATACCCCTTACTGTTGCAGAGGGAAACTGCATTTTAAAGATCCAAATCCATGTTTTTACTTATGTGTAAGTATCATGCTAAGAATGTTCACTGTGCATTATTCTACATTATAAATATAGGCCATTTTACAGTACAAAAGCTATAATATTGGTGTCTTATTAAGATTTATTGAATAGTTTTCGTATATTCCCCGTACATTTTAGATAGTAGCATAACTGCAACTTATTCAAAAGTTCAGAATTACCAAGAGGGTTTAATACATTTGTGATATATAACGACATTTACGCGAATGAATCCTGGCTGCACAATAGGTATGCAGTGCCGGATTCACTCTATAAATCTCGCTCGGCGCAATAAGGATTTCACCTGCTTTGACATCCATTCGGATAAAAGTTTCATGTTCAAAATTGTATCGTTGCTTTTCTCTGTCCCTGACTTATTACGCAGTGTGAAATGTCTTGTTATGAGGAAGGAAGTCGAGTACATTGTGACATGTGAAGGAAGTAAATATGTAAAAAATTAAGTTTTATATTATAAAAAATCAGTAAAGTCGAAACGTAGTTAAAATTGCATTGATTAATATATTTAGTTTGTAATATTAAATTAAAATAAAAAAATATATACAAGCAATCTGACCATCTGTGTCAGCCTGACTTCGTCCCTGTAGAAGAGTTATTTTGGGCATCCAGATTACTTTTAGCAAATCTCCCCTCCATATTTTTACATTAAGGCTGTTACCAACGTCGTTCGCATCCCGTCGTTCTTGCAAATTAATCTTAGAGAAAACATACTCTAATACGTTGTTCTGGATATCTTGACGCGTTTTCGCAGCGTACGACACAGAAGCCCGCAAAGATGAATAATCTACTCCGTTCTATCCATATTTCCCGCTGTTTATAGCTTTTCTCGATAAATGCTATCACCAACACAAAAATAATATTTCAATTCCCACCGGTAGTTTCTGAGATTAGCGCGATCAAACAAACAAACCAACTTTTCAGCGTTGTATACTAGAACATATAGGTAACATTTATTGTAAGGTGAATACAAAAATATTGTATTAATTCACTACTCATATTTATTTCAAAGTACATTTTTTATATAAGGGGTAAAATATACAATTTTATGCGATATTCTTCACTCAAGAAGTTATTGAGGGTAGGCAAGACTTCATCAAAATTCAAGTGTGACAAAGGGGCGGAACGTGCTCGAAGATACTATTTTTAAGTGCTTTGTTCTATGCAATATGTATGTAGGTGCTACTAATACTAGATACTATCTTTAACGTTATTATTATATTATACATATTTTCTCTTTATTAGGTTGTATTGCTGTGATTTAAGCCTAAGCTGTTGGCACGTCATTTTGTAAGTTTATAATTGTTTTTCGGGCTGTTCGGCCGACGTGAGCGAGAAGGGGTTCGTGAAAGCCTTACACAATTTATTTTGTAAGTTTTTCTTCATAAAGAATGCATATGCATACCTACCCATGAGCATGACAAATTCAAGTCTTGGCTTAGATCTCTTTCGGGTCAAGATAATCAAGATATATTTTTTTAAACTTTTTGGACTACGTCTGGAAATTTGGATATTGAATGGGTGGTAGGAATATCTGAATTCCGTCTGGGTCACGAACCACCCACCACGAACCAAAAATTCTTGAACATTAATCGCGTAAAAACAAAGTAGATCGATAGAGCATCTTGCTGAGGTGTTTTATGGCTGGGGCATTACAGAATTACAGAATATAAGAACCAGAAATTAAATAAATACCTGAAAAGATCCACGAAATGCCAAGTTATAAATTCAAAATTGCTTTTAACACGTACCATTGATATCAAATTATTTTTCGACGTTTCTACGATTGCACGTCAAAAGTTTGAAATTCAATTTCACTTCAAAGGTAGGTAGGTACCTACATTGTTCCCAAGAGCCATTGGCTTTACGATAGAACATTTACTTTCCCTACGCTGTTCTGACGATTCGAAAGTTGCAGTTTTAGATCAAAAGGAGCAATAATGGAATGGTTGAATTTTTCAAATATTGATTCTTACGTCTGTAGTTTCCACGACTGGAAGACATACTATAAGATACTTTTAACGATGTAAAGGGGGGAAATAAAAATTGGATGACAAATACCTTTTGAGTTTTCAACCTTTACAATTGTTTTATTTAATCACATGATGCTTTTATATAGAATATGTTTAATATTTTTAGAAAGTTAATTTAATTTCTTCTAATTTTGACAAAAAAAGTGTAAATATTTATATAAATGATATCTTATGCAACATACAAACCTATATGTTCTGAATGGAGTTCGATGACATAATACAATAGAGGTACGTCATTGAAAACGAATTTGACATTAAAAAATGTTCAATTCTCTTAAGAATCTCGGTCTATTCCCTAAATTTCAACCATCGTACATAGTACGTAAAAATTATTTACGGTAAACCTCCCTTACGAACGGAAATGAGACTCAAATACGAGACGAACGCAGCTTTCTGTTTCTGCTTTCATAAATATTGCATGCATTTCAAATCTCCCGTCGCGTCGTTCCAATCATGTTGCATGTCACTGGGGGGACAAGCGTTTAGTCAGTGTCAGACTTCCACATTTAGCCTACCAGACTACCGGCACACATGTCACGCTATCCGCAACTTACCGCAAAGGCCATGTTATATCACTCCGACTCTGTACCTAGGTATTACATATGGCCTAAACTGGTACAGGATTAACTCAATCAATTTGTCACTATTTCTATATAAATACATATACTCGGCGTAAACTGTACGCTGTATTTAAATTAAATCCCTTTTGTAATAAATATTTTATATTAGTGCTGGCTGCAAATAAAAAAACAACTATAATAATTTAAAAATTGAAAAAAAATCGACTCGGGCACCGTCAGCGTTCCGTGCTGTTGCTCTGAACTGTTGGAACGCTGACGATGCCGGTTCAAGTCCTGCCCGAGGCGAATTTTTTTTAAATTTATTTTCTATTTCTAAATTATATAGAGCCTTCATGTGCATGCATAACATTTAAAAACATTAATGTTTTTAAACAATTATAACAGCACAGATAACTATTTCCTGCCAAGACGTTCATAGACCACAGATAATACAAACTAATGAACTAAAAGTGCCTACAAAAAGACATAAATAGCATAGCATACATTAAAATATTTTCATGAGTTTGTCCTATGTAGGTGTTTACTGGAATAAATATTCTATTAAAAAGATATATCAATTTAGTAAAATAATTATAAGCACGCATTTTTTTTACTTTTGACAATTGTAGACGTTTTTATGGTTGTTTATGGTCAACGTTAGATTTAATTGTACAGATTATTAATATTAAAAAAAAGATTTAATAGTACGTATTTTGCTAGTTTGGTGATGACTAGATATAAAAAAATAATTGTTTTTTTTTTCAAATCACTCCCTTTTTGTTTTTTAGTTATTTCATTATTTTGTAACTTCTAAAACGGTTTATGTAACATGGAGTACCACAAAACTGAGAGTTACGAAATAACTGTCGTCTAACTTAATTAATTAATATAGTTTAGCGGCCGCATAAATTGAGAACTTTGACACAATTTTAACAGCCTGTGTCTTCTCGAACACTGGCGTATTGTGCATAATGAAGAAAAGCTATTAAAAATAAATTGTATCTTCAAAGATAAGCGGGAAAACGTTGTATTCCCGACGGAGTTTATTGCAAAACACTCGTCGTTCGTTTATGCAAAATTTTATTCTTTTTAGAGCTGTGTAGAATTCGTTTCCTAGAGAGAAAAAGATAATTAAAGTCTAGCGTCAGAGAGGTGTAATTGATTCTTTAGTGCTTCCTTTCTCTTAGCGACTAAAGAAGTTACGCTTTCGCGATTGTTAAAAGAGTAGTTCTCAGAGACATTTTAATCCACTGCTAAGACTAAGATAAACAGCTTAAAACCGATGCAGCTGGAATAAGTGCACATTTTCTATTTTTATTTTTATTCATTATTTTATTCTTACTTAAACAACATAGTTAAAATAAAAGGATAGAATCGTTTGAAGTTTTTAGTTAGTTAAAAATATTTTTTAATAGACTTTTTTTTTATTAATAGCTAATCGTATTACACGTTTAAATAAAAAACTTTAACTCCCGAAACGTCGGGCCGACGTTTCGGACGCTTTGCAGCAGCCGTGGTCAGGGGGACACTAAAGATGGAGGATGTCTCTGACGTCAAAGTAAAAAATTGCTACGCTAGCGCCATCTGTTCCGTCGAAGTTGGTATTTGGCGAAACTGATCGGGTCCTTGCAGAATAGACTAACGGTGTCTTCGCGTTTGCCGGTATACTGTTTATTGAGATCCAGAGTTTTTAATATGGGATCCCAGGTGTTTGATAATTTGAGGCCGTCCTCCCTATTGAAATTTCGGTGTTTTTTGATTTCAATTGCTTCGCGTACCAATCTTGGAAAAAATCGACTCTCCTCTGCGAGGATTTTTGGCTGGTCAAACATCGTGTCTCAAACATTTGAAAGAGTTTTATTTAAATTGGATATAACCTTAACCTTCGTGTGTAGTACACAAAGCATCGATATCTACAATGAAATATAAATTTTATTTTATTTTGAAACCTTAAAATCTATGAATTGTAGATATATGTTGGAGCCGATTTATTTAACGATACGGTCCCAAGCTTTCAGGACAAACAGAGCCGAATCCAATTTACTACCTGCACCGGGGACCGCGCTTTGACTCATAAAAAATTTACGGCAAAAATACTGCAGCTGATATGAATTGTATCCGAATGAGACACCTGCTATTTTTACATCTCTTTTATTTGCATTTCTGTAGTGGAGTTATTAAAAGCACTAGGTTATACGCTTGTTACAAAAATGCGACGGAAAATTCTATGCATATTTTACACTTGAAAAATTTTACATTTTTTACACTTAAAATATTATATCACGCGGGCAGGACTTGAACCCACACGCCACACGTTACACGTCATCGTCGATTTGATTGAACCTGTCTGTGGTTGAAAAAAAACGTCGCAGCGTTGTGAATGCCAGTTCTAGTCCTGCCCGAGTAGTATATATTTTCAATCTAAAATCGATGTCTAATATCTATATCTATATCTATATCTACCAGAGATACTTAATACATATATAAGTTTAAGAGTAATAAAACATGTTTTGGTGCGTCAAAATGTAGTTTTTAATTATGAACAATATTTAATAAAATATATAATAATAACTTATCTAAAATATGTAGATTTTAGATAAGTAGTTTCTTTAACTTCTTTGGGCACGAATTGAAAACTATCTTCAGTACAAGAGGTCTTAAGTTATCGAGCTTACTTAGACTATCAAAGGAAACTAACGGAACAAACGTAAAGTTGTTCTTATAAAAATATTAAGTTTTCAGTTACAGTAAAGACGGAGTTATTTAATAATAAAGGAATGATAAAACACAGTTCCATTGAGTAGTGTCTGTAGTTT